GGCTCTGAGCTGGCAGCCAGCCCAGAGCCCGACGCGGGGCTCGAACCCACGAACCGCGAGATCATGACCCAAGCAAAAGTCGGACGCTTAACCGACTAAGCCACCCAGGCGCCCCGATAATGATTCTTAACTAGAAGGTCTTTAGAGGCTCTGGTACCCCCCTCTCCCCCGCACTAGACTGTCGATCTCTTGAGCCGCGTGAGAACTGCGAGGCTGCCTCCCCAGGGCTAGAGTTGCAGTCTCTAACGGGTGCTCAAATGGGCAAAAGGGGAGGGGGAGTTCAGACATGGGGTGGGGGGGGGACACAGCACCTGAGCAGACCTGGGTCCAGGGCTGGGGTCTCTGGGCAATGCTAGGGGCTAGGGAGGTGGTGTTGGAGGAGCTGGGTGGGGACATGGGAAGCCCCTGGGCTTGGAGCGAACCAGGGCTGTGGGACTGGAGACGGTGTTGGGGGGAGCTGGTAGCTGCCCCCCCCCAAGGGCAATTTCCCCCCTGTGGTGGCTTCCGTCCATCCTGTGTGGCCTGTTCTAGCCTCCATCCCGGCTGGTCTAGCGCCCTGGCTGGTGGCTTCTGTTTTTCTTGGTCTCTGGCTCCTTCTCCATCCCTCTCACATTTGGCCCTGTCCGTCTCCGGATCTCAGTCTCCAACGGGCGGCCTGGGGCCCCTTTGCAGCAAAGATCCGCTTCCCTCTCCAGCTCTGTCTCTCGGGGGGTTCTCTTTCCCTCCACTCCGCCCGGCCACGCCCTCTATCCCCCCATCCACCTGATCCAGTCTGGTACCTGCGGTGGGGGGAGGGGAGAGACCTCCGGGTCTTAAAGAGGCGGCGAGGGGGGGCGGACCCAATCCCTCTCTCCATATTTGCATATGTATGAGGTCGCCCGGGCCAGCGGCGAGGAGGCGGGGCTTCTGGGGGTGGGGAAGGGGGCGGGCCCCCCACAGCCGCGGAGTATAAAGTCTGCGCGCCACGACCGCCGGCCCCGCACTGCTGAGGAGCGGAGCCTCCGCCCCGGGGACCCCCATCCCTGGCTGTCCCCCAATTGCGCGTCCCTGCCCCACCCCCGCGGCCGAGCCACCGCTGGTGTGGCGGTCTCCGCTTGGCGGAGGCGCCTTGAGCGGCCACCTGGTCCCTCTCCACAGCCTCTTTGCATCTTGGATTTCGGGGCAGCCCCCTCCCCCACCCCTCCCTTGCCTCCTTGCACCCCAATTTTTTCTGCGTCTCGCTCGGGTTTTGCAGCCGTCTATTTTTGCATCCCTTTTCATTTTGTTTCTAGAAGGTTTGGGGGGGTTGGAGAGGCTGCATCGCACCCCTTCCTCTTTCTAACCTCCCCTGCTCTGACAGCCCCCTTTTCATCGCAGCCCGGGGTGGGGGGGGGCTAGGATCGGTGCATCCTACGCCGCGCTGCCAGGACCCCGCAGCGCGTGGCCGTGCACCCCGGAATTTGCAGCAGCTGTCCATCTGAGGAGGGTCTCCCTCGCCCCCGCCGCCTTTGCTCCCCGCGCGCTCCGGAGCGTGGGGGGGCTTCCGCGCGCCGCACCCCAGCTTCTCCGCAGCCCCCCGCCCCGCGCGGGACTCGCCCCCCGCCGCCAAGATGGTCATCCAGAAGGAGAAGAAGAGCTGCGGGCAGGTGGTTGAGGAGTGGAAGGAGTTCGTGTGGAACCCGAGGACGCACCAGTTCATGGGCCGCACCGGGACCAGCTGGGGTACGCAGGGCGGGCCGCGCGTGGGGCGGGGCGGGGGTCCTCGGGGCTCGGCCCCGGGGGGCACCGGGTCTCACAGGCTCGGACCCCGGGTCCTCTCCTGGGTCCCCGGCGTCCGGCCCCCCTGCCGGGCTCCGGCCTGGGAGGGGGCCGAATCGCCGGTCTAATCTCCCCGGCCGGCCGCTGCGGAGGCGGAGAAAGTAGGTCACTGCCGCCTTCCCGCCCCCCGCGGAGCCCCCTCGCGCGGGGGGTCGCGGGCTCTGCGCGCGTGTCCGCGGCGCGGCGCTGGCGCTCCCTCTCTCCGGGCAGGTCCGCTGCGCACGGCCGCCCCCCCCTTCCCCAGAAGAGCGCCCCTTCCCTCCCTCTGGCTCTCACTAGCTCGCCAAGCCCGTCTATTTTTAGCTTGTGCCCATCCCCTGGACCCTGGGAACATTCATGAGGGGGCGGGGCTGGAGAGGTGGGGGGGCGGGGGGGCTCTTCACAGCGGAAGTTGTCAGTATCCCGCTGCTGTTTGGAGCTTTTCTGTGGCTGCTTTGTGGGTGGGGGGCTGTTGGAGAGGGGTGGCCCTGGGCGGTTTCGGAGGTTGGATGTGGGAGGCTCAGATGTCGCAGGCGGAGGGAGGAGTGGTCGCCAGTGGTGAGACTGCACATACATCATCCGGCAGAGTGTCGAGACCCTCCCAACCCACGGCGGGACTGGGGGGCGTGTGTAGAGGGAGTTGTCGATCTCGGAGGGTCTGGTGCTGGGCTTGGGTGCAGGTGAAGGGTGGCATTCTTCCAGAAGGGATTGTTAAGCTGGGAAGTCAAGCATAGGGGACCCTGTTATGACACAATTTACAGTTCATGCACACCGACTGAACGCTGATCCATCAGCCCACCCACCCGGGCAGTCCTTGCCTTCAGGAAACTGGGAAGTCCAGCCCCTGGGGTTGCAGGGGTCCATGATGGCTTGGAGAAATCTGGGGAAGCTTCATGGGGACAGTGTCTTCTGAGATGGAAGGACAGAGGGTCCTGGGTGGTGACAACAGCAGGCAGTTACACCAGGCTGAGGAGTGACAGAGTTACGTGTCACCTACAGCAAGGACCTGCTCCCTGCTGGGCAGCCTCTGGGACATTCTGCCTTTACTCACCGCCTCTCCCTGGGTTCAGTGCATGAACTGGGGGGTGGGGTGACTGCTGAAGGTTCTGGGCAGCTCTGAGAGATTTCGTAGCTAGACAGAAGCTGCGTGCAGGGTGTGACTTCGGTGGGGCGCCAGGAGGGAGGGGTCTGCTCTCTGAATGTGAGGGTCCAGCCCTCTGAGGGATGGGGTGAGAGTTTGGTCGTGAATGGTGGCCAGTGCCAGCTTCAGAAGTCACCGTGCCGGACAGCTTTAAGCACGAGGACCCACGAAGCCGTAACAGATGTTGTGCCTTTTCGGGGCCATGAATGGTTGACAAGTTGGGAACGTAATTTGATGCAGAACGACTGTGGCCTAGACTTGGGGTTGTCCCAGCAACGAGAATTTAGGTCTCTTGTGGCCTTTACGAGGTTGGGCTGCTCTCTGCCCTGGGACCGGAGGGGGCGGGGAGTCTTGGCTGGAAGCCAGACCCAACTGCCTGTTTCCAGCTTGTCTCACTTTGCTCCCAAGGGAAGGCTCTCAGATGTCCTCGAGACTCTGTGACCCGTACGAGTGCAGAATGTCAGAGTGGGAGAGGGGTCTGTGGGGACAGGTGAGCTCGTCACGGGAGCCTTGGAACTTGCTGACCCCGTTTCCTCCTCCCCAGCCTTCATCCTTCTCTTCTACCTCGTGTTCTATGGCTTCCTCACGGCCATGTTCACCCTCACCATGTGGGTCATGCTGCAGACGGTCTCTGACCATACCCCCAAGTACCAGGACCGACTGGCCACACCGGGTGAGTGAGGCGGCTCCCCGCCCGTCACTGGCTGCTGTCGCGCGCGCCCCCCAGGCGTCCCGAAAGGAACTTAGAGCCTGAGAAGGGCCCACGGTTTGGAAAGGCTTGGTTCTGACGACCCGGTTACCGCGTGCGGGCAAGTTCTGGAAGTCTGCCTCCCTTCCCGTTTCCCGCAGCTGAGAGCTTGGTGGCCTGGGAAGGTGCTAGATGTCCACAGGAGGCCTTCCTCCACCTCCACCCCATCCATCACCGTGCTGCTGTCTGTGTCCATCTTCCTCCCTCCAAGGGTGGTCCCTCCGTGTGTATATATATGTATTTATGTACATATAGGTGGTCCCTATATAACTTACCCACTTGTCTCCACTTGTCTGGTGTAGGTTTGATGATTCGCCCCAAGACTGAGAATCTTGATGTCGTTGTCAACGTCAGCGACACTGAAAGCTGGGACCAACATGTTCGGAAGCTCAACAAGTTCTTGGAGCGTGAGTGAGCGGGCGGCGACGTGGTCACGCAGAAGCTCGGGCAGGGGACTGGGGGACCCTGGAAGCAGAAGGCCCCATGACTGTCTCTCTCTCTCTCTCTGTCTCTCCCACCCCATAGCTTACAATGATTCCATCCAAGCCCAAAAGAATGATGTCTGCCGCCCTGGGCGCTATTACGAACAGCCCGATAACGGGGTCCTCAACTACCCGAAGCGTGCCTGCCAGTTCAACCGGACCCAGCTGGGCGACTGCTCTGGCATCGGGGACCCGACCCACTATGGTTACAGCACCGGGCAGCCCTGTGTCTTCATCAAGATGAACCGGGTACGTGTGACCTCGGTCACCAGCGGGGGGGGCGGCCAGGGCCACCGTCTGCTGGCATTTGCTTCCTTGCACTGGAGACATTCTTGGATGTTTGAGCGGCTGGAAGAAGGAGAGAGATGGGGCCCCTGGGGGCCGGGTTCTGTGGAGGGGGGACGCCGGGGGCGTGCGTCTTTGACACCTTCTTTCTCTAAACCCTCGCTCGCTCTCTTCATTCCAGGTCATCAACTTCTACGCGGGAGCAAATCAGAGCATGAACGTTACCTGTGTGGGGAAGGTGAGTCGCTTGGGCCTTGTCCGCCTGCCCATCTGTTTGCCTTTCGTGGCTTCCGTGTGACTCACTCATGTCCTTCGGTCTCCTTTGCTATCAGAGGCCCCGTCACTCTAGGGACAAGGGGGTAAGAGCGGGTGCCAACATGGCCCGAACCCCAAGGGGCTCCCACCACTCTCGCTTCTCTCTAGGCTGCAGGAGCCTGCCCTAGACACCCTCCTCTCTGACTGCACCCAAGCCTCGGCGGCCGCTTCTATCCCTGGCCCTTCACCCTCTCCCGGGTCCCCGGTCTCCATGGCTTCCGCTCTGCCCCTCGCACCTCACCCGCTCTTCCGCCTTTTTAGGGGATCTGGTAGTTACTACCATCTGCCGCCACTCAGTGTCCTTGGAACCCTGCGGCCCCTCCTCTGTTCTCTCTAGAAGCTTCCCGTCCCTCTTTACCCCCCCCCCCCACACACAGCCTCCCCTTCCGTCTGAGCCCTTACTCACTTTCTGTTCTCTCTTGGCTCTGCTCCAGAAACCGATTCCTCAGACTGGGGTAAGAACGTGGTGTGGGAGTAGAAGTGGGTGGCCCCAGTATCATTAGCATCCTTCAGGACTTCCCAGTCTGACGGAAGGGACAGGACAGCCCCTCCCGCGCACACGCGAACACACACACGTGCACACGCGCACGTGCGCGCGCGCACACACACACAGACTCACAGCCCAAGGGAAACAGATTTGAGACAAATCCTTGGGGCGAAGGAAGAACAGAGGGAAGTCTGGAGACGAGTGTCCCTGACCTGCTCTCCCCTCCCCCCCTGCACCCCCCACAGCGGGATGAAGATGCTGAGAATCTCGGCAACTTTGTCATGTTCCCTGCCAACGGCAGCATTGACCTCATGTACTTCCCTTACTATGGCAAAAAGTTCCACGTAAGTGCCGCGGGGGACCCGGACGGGTGGCTCCTCCCGGGGGAGCAGGGTCCTCGGGGAGGAGGCTGAGTGCCAAGGGCCTGGACCTCTGCTCTCTTCCTCTGGCCCAGGTGAACTACACGCAGCCCCTGGTGGCCGTGAAGTTCCTGAACGTGACCCCCAATGTGGAGGTGAACGTAGAATGCCGCATCAATGCCGCCAACATCGCCACAGACGATGAGCGAGACAAGTTCGCCGGCCGCGTGGCCTTCAAACTCCGCATCAACAAAACCTGAGGCCCCTTCCTCCTGCCCCCACCTCTTTCCTATGGATGCTTCTGGAATGTCCCTGACCCTGCCTGATCCCTCCCTCACCTGCCCCAAAGGTATTTTTTATAACAGAGCTATGACCTGTTTGAGCCTCACGCCCCTTTTCTTTACTTGTGAACCCAGCCTGATGGCCATTGTGAATCCCTGCCTTCCCACGGTCTCCGCCCTCCCCTCCCCTCCCCTCCGGATTCCAGCTCCGTCAGAGGCAGGGAGGCGGGACCCCAGGAAGGTGGCCCAAGGAGTTAGGGGCTGTTCTGGTTCGGGTTTAGCTGTGAGTGGGCTGTCTCCACCCCTGCTGTCCCCAGAGAGCGATAGAAAAGGCATGCCCGCCCACCTTCACACCTGCCCACCATCACATCCACCTTCACACCTGCCCACCTTTGCACCCGCCTTCCCACCCATCCACCACCCACCTTCTCACCTCCCACCTTCACACCTTCCCACCTGCCTTCCCACCCCCCACCCAGCTTCTCAGTCTCCCACCTTCACACCTGCCTTCACACTCATCCACCTCCCCCCTGCACATCTCATTTCACCCCTGGTTTGCAGACCCCAGTGTGGCCCTCCATTCACCTTCCTGTCTCCCACGCTTTCTGCTTCATCGACACAGCCACTGTCTTGGTGGCTTTGACTTACCCGGCCCCTCCAGCATTGGCAATGTGTCCCCAAGCCCTCTCCGTCCCCCTTCCCGCCTCTGGAAGACAGCTACTTGTAACTGAGGACGAGGTGGCTGTGTGGCCTTTTCCCTGTCTTCTGGCCCATTTTTCTTCTCATCCTGTGGTGACTGGCGCGAGGTGGGCATGAGGGTCTGGAAGAGGAGTCCCGGTTGGTTCTTCTAGAAAATTCTCTTCCTGTCACCCACATAGGCACTCCTTGGAGGGACGGGGCTGACCTAGGCTGAACATCCACTTTGTTTTTTGCCGACGACGGCTCACTGTTTCCCTGTTTGTTTTCCCAGAATATCCTTCAAGTTCCACTTCCCCGGAGCGCTGGGGGAGGGCGGCCATTTTGGCTGGGAAACGTCAGCTGGCTATGGGACGATTTCACCTCCTTCCCCCCCGGCTTCCTCCCTCTGGCTTCTCTTCGCACGTTATCAACTAATCACTAACTCCTTCCTTCTCCTCTGCAGGTCAGCCTAAACGCTGCAAATAGCCCCCCAGTCTAGGCTCTGAATTTCTTGGCCCTGTCTCCTTCGGGACCCCTTGGCGTTTTTTTGAACGACCCCATAGTGCACATAGAATGTTACGTGAGGGGCCTCTGGTGTTCTTGAGTGATAGTGCCCTTGACCTCTGCCCTCTCTAACTCCCCATTTCTTTTCTGACACTGCAGTTTCCACACCTCACCCCCCTCCCTCAGATGGACCCACCCCTCCTTCCCTCTCACTGGATCTGGGTCTCTTCCCTTGGGGTCCCCATGTTTTCCTGCATTCCCTTCGCTCCAGTGGTCTCTCTCTGCAGTTATTTAATGCCTGTGTCAGATCTACTGTAAAAGAGAATAAAGTACAATAAAATGAGAGCAATTATATATATAAATATATATCACACATGGAGCCCTGCGTGTGGCTTGTTCCTTTCTGAGCGTTTGGAAGAGCGCTGGGAAGGGAGGGAGGGAGGGCCGGGTGTGTGTGTGTGTGTGTGTGTGTGTGATCTGGGTGGTTTGGGGGGTCACCTGGGCCTTGGGGGTCCTACTTCCCAGCTTTGGCTTCTTCGTGCAGTGCCCAGCCGTCTACCTCCTCGATCGCTCCTTCACTTATACCGCCTTTGAGATCGCTCAGCGCAAGAGAGGCAGGAAGCCTACATCCCTTTGTTCGGCGATACTTACGAAGTGCCTACTGTGCATTCTAGGCACCGTGAAGACACACTTATGAAAGAGGCAGACTTCCTGCTCCCAAGGAGCTCCCCAGTTTAACGGGAGAGGTGAGGAGCATACGAGAAACCCTCATACCAGGTAGACCTGAGCATGCCTCCAGGGAGGGGAGACAGGCCGCAAGGAAAAAACCCAGAGGGGCCAATGGCTTTCTAATGAGGGGCTCCCAATAGCAGGTTTCTTAGAGCCTTAAAGGCTGAGTGGTTGGGGAGGGAGAAAAGCCTCAGCAGTGCTCAGGGACGTGGGAAAAGTGGACCAGAAGAAACAGCTCAAAAAACAATATGAACCATTATGATCTTAACTGGGGGTAAAAGTATACACAGAAGGGTAGGAAAAAAAAAGGGACAGATGGGTGCATAGAAAGATGTTTACTGGGGCGCCTGGGGGGCTCAGTCAGTTAACCGTCCGACTTCGGCTCAGGTCACGATCTCACGGTTCGTGGGTTCGAGCCCCGCGTCGGGCTCTGTGCTGACAGCTCAGAGCCTGGGACCTGTTTAAGATTCTGTGTCTCCCTCTCTCTCTGACCCTCCCCTGCTTGTGCTGTCTCTCTCTCTCTCTCTCTCTCTCAGAAATAAATAAAACATTAAAAAAAAAAAGAAAGATGTTTACTGTGACATACGGGGATGGGTTTAGAGCTAATTTTTATTTTCTTGGGCTTCATTTTTGTTGGTTTGCTTGCAATGAGTTAGTAGTATTTGCCCGGAAAAATAGCTTTATGACACAGGCAACTGGATACACAATTGTATCACGAGTGAGTCGCATATGCACACGCAAGTGCACGCGCACAGACTGCTGGGTGTGCTCATTATCATGCCAGAGCTGGATCTTATTATACACACTTGTGTGCATTTCACTGTTTTATGACCAATACATTTCTCGTGCCACCATTTCACCCGGTAGAGCTTGAATGCATGTATGTTTTATTTTATTATTATTATTAGTTTTTTTATTATTTAGTTTTGAGAGACAGAGACAGAGCGTGAGTGGGGGAGGGGCAGAGAGAGAAGGAGATACAGAATCCGAAGCAGGCTCCAGGATCTGAGCTGTCAGCACAGAGCCCGACGCGGGGCTCAAACTCAGGAACCGTGAGATCATGACCTGATCCGAAGTCGGACGCATAACCGACTGAGCCCCCCCAGGCGTCCCTGCATGTATGTTTTTAGATGGCTGCATAATATTTTTTTTTCCATTGGCTCATTGTTGCCTTCTTAATTTGCTCAAGCTCCTTGACAGCTACAGATAGAAACTATTTTCTGCGTTGCAAAATTCTGCACCCCTAACCCCCAAGCAACCGTCTGCCTCTCTGTTTCAAAATGTTAGGTCTTCATATGTTTAGTTCTTTGGTAGTTTCCGGGTGTCCTGTCACTAGAATAGATTCCTATTTTCTAGATTTTTCTGGGTGTTGGGGGGAGGCAAGATTTTAATTTCATTTCAATTTTTACTTCCACTTTAATTCTCCCTATTTTTGTTTCTTTTTGTGCATGGTGTGATTTGGAGTCCAGGTTTACTTTATTTTTCTGGTTTTGTCCACTTCACTTTACTTTTCAAAAATCTAGGGAGCCTGGCCGGCTCAGTTGGTAGGGCGTGTGGTTCTTGACCTTTGGGTCGTGAGCTTGAGCCAAACCTTGGGCGTAGAGTTTACTCAATAAGAAAACATTTATTTATTTATTATCTTTATTTTTTTAGAAATCTTTTTTTAAGTTTATTTACTTATTTTTAGAGAGAGAGAGAGCATGGCAGTGGGTAGACAGAGAGGAGACAGGGAATCCCAGGTAGGCTCTGCTTTGACAGCACAGAGCCCAGCGTGGGGCTTGAACTCACCAACTGTGAGATCATGACCTGAGCCGAAGTCGTATGCTCAACTGACCGAGCCATCCAGGAACCACAAGGGGAAGAAATTTTTTTAAATGTTTGTTTATTTGTTTAGAGAGACAGTGAGTGAGGGAGGAGCAGAGCGGAGGGAGAGAGAGAGTCCCAAGCAGGGTCCACACTGTCGGTGCAGAACCTAACGGGGCTTGCTCTCACGAATGGTGAGATCATGACTTGAGCTGAAATCAAGAGTCAGACACTTAACCAAATGAGCCACCCAGGGGCCCCATACACCCAGCTATATTCATTTGATTTCAAGTAGTTTTACAGGGTGTGTTCTGTTATCTAGCAAGGTGAGTTGATTTCCCTCCATCCTTTTATTTATTTTATTTCTTTAGTAATCTCTACACCCAACATAGGGCTCAAACTCATGACCCCAAGATCAAGAGTTGCATGCTCCACCAACTGAGCCAGCCAGTCGCCCCTCACCCCCCACTGCCTCTTAAAAACATTTATTTACTTAAAAAAAAAATCTCTACGCCCCAGATGGGGCTTGAACTCACGACCCTGAGATGCAGTGTCACATGCTCTTCCGATCAAGCCAGCCAGGTTCCCCTCTCAGTGTTTTGAGAAGATAAAAAAAATGTTTATCTACTATCTATCTTCTTAAATTCTCTTAATTCCAAGAGTTGTTTATTATGGTCTCTGGAGCGCTTAGATGCGTAGTCCTATGATCAAAAAGGCAGAGATACTTTACCAGTGTTTTCTTTCTTTCCTTGATCCTCTTTGAATGCATTGTAACATTCAGGTATCCCTGTATAGGTTTTTTATTTTAATTGGAATTATCTTAGTGTTTAACCATTAGGATAATATTTCCTTGTATTCCATTACTATTTTTAATTAAGCTTTTTTTTTTTTTAAGGAATGGATGCTGAAATTTAATCAAATTCCTTTCAGCATCTTTTGACATTATCATACTTTTCTTTCTTAATTTGTTAATGTAATGAATTACGTTGATAGATTTCTCTACAAAACCAACTTTGTGCTCCTGGAATAAACCTTTACTTATAGTGTTAGCCTTCTTCTGATTCATCAATGTATTCTGATACGACGTTGAGAGTTGTGCAACTGTGTAAGTTAATTTAGCTTCTAGGTCTTTATGGTCTTTATCAGGTTTTATATTAATGAAACCACAACTTTACATAAGTTGGAGATTTCATTCTCTTCCTGTAGCACAGAATAGTTTAAGGTGCGTTGGACCAATCAATGGTCCTTGCTGTGTCTTCAATGAGCTCTTGATTTTTAAAAATTATTATTATTACATGTTTTTTAGTAAACTCCACTCCCAACATGGGGCTTGAACTCATAACCTTGAGATCAAGAGTTGCGTGTTCTTCTGACTGAGCCAGCCAGGCAGGCACCCCTTCTTTTCTTCTTATAAATTTATCTTGTTTCTAAACTCTTGCTTTTGGGGGCACCTGGGTGGCCCAGTCAGTTGAGTGTCCGACTTCGGCTCAGGTCATGATCTCACAGTTTGTAAGTTTGAGCCCTGCGTCACGCTCTGTGCCAATAGCTCAGAGCCTGGAGCCTGCTTCGGATTCTAAGTCCCCCCCCCCCAAATAAAAACATTAAAAAAAAATACAACACCCTTCTACTTTTGGATTTTACCGTTTCAATCAAGTTTGCTTTCTCTTTCAACAATTTCTGTCTTTTTTAGGATGCATCTAGGTTCCATTGGTTTCTCTTTCTCTCTTTTTTTTTAAATGTTTTTTAAATTTATTTCTAGGAGAGAAAGAGAGAGAGAGACAGCGTGAGCAGGGGAGGGTCAGAGAGAGAGGGAGTCACAGACTCTGAAACAGGCTCCAGGCTCTGAGCTGGCAGTCAGCACAGAGCCGGACGCGGGGCTCTAACCCACGAACCGCCGAGATCATGACCTAAGCGAAAGTCGGACGCTTAACCGACTAAGCCACCCAGGCGCCCCTTTATTTGCCATATAAAAGAAGAGGAAAGAAGGAAGGACAATCCTTTTGATTCTAACACTCACAATAGTCATTTTATTTCTAAAAAGTGATAGTCTATTTAATAAAACCCATCCTATGGTGTAACTGTGGAACCTTGCTAACATTGAAAAGATTGCCTAATGTATACCNTAAGCCACTGAGGCGCCCCTCTCCTTTTTTAATATAGAGACAGAGCGTGAGCAGCGGAGGGGCAGAGAGAGAAGGAGACACAGAATCCGAAGCAGCTCCAGGCTCCGAGCTGTCAGCACAGAGCCCGACATGGGGCCTGAACTCACCAACTGGGAGATCATGACCTGAGCCGAAGTCGGACGCTTAACTGACTGAGGCACCCGGGCTTCCCAAGAAATATCCCAAATATCAGTGGTACTGGGCTTGGCCTTTGAACTTGAGAGCAGGGGCCACGTCCGCCACGGGCCCCCACGTTCTAGAACAGAGCCAGGCAGAGGAAGGCACCAGTGAATGCCTGCAGATGAGGCGGATGGCTGAATGAACAGAGGGGGTTGGCAGGCAGGTAGGACCAGAGTCAGGGACCCCATGCAGGTCACACAGCTCATCGCGGAGCTGCCCACGGACCCAGCTTGTTCCCAGCCCAGGTTGCTACTGGCTCACAGAGGTTGGGGCAGAGCCGGATCGGCTCTGCTTTCTGAAGGAGCAGAGCAGAAAGGGACGCAGTCTAGGGGACCTGAGCCGGGGGCAGGGGGTGGGGGAGCAGTGCCTGATGCCCGTCAGCAGGGAGCTTCAAGGTGACCCATCTGGAGGAGCGTGGAGGGGGAAGGAGTTTTGAAGAGTGCGGGTTTGCCAAGGCCCTGAAGGGCGGGGAGAGGTGGTGAAGCTTCAGGTCTCTGACTGAGAAGGTTCCAGATCTCCTGGGGAGCAGTTAGCACTCGCCGATGGCTGATAAGAAGGTGGTCTGGAGGCCAGGGAGGCTGGCGGGTGCTTGGCCGCCTGGGACCCTCGGGGCAAGCCGTGCTACCCCACACAGGCGCTTTGGGCCCGGCTGATGAAGCCGAGAGGCCGCTGGCTCCAGAAGGCTCTCTGGACTTTAGCGCCCCTCCCTCTGCCTCCAGGGAGGTGGGCCAAGCCATGTCCCCGCTGTCTGGCCGCCCCTCTAGGCGCTGGCTCCGGTGGCAGTGGGTGATGGGGAGAGCGCCCCCCCGCCCCCCTCCCTGGGAGCCAGCGGCACCGAGGATCGGGACAGGCGGGGGGAGCCGGGCTCCCCAACCTCAGCTCTCCTCCCCACCCCAAGAAGCCCTTTGAGGTTTTCCTGGCAGAGTTTAAAGCTTCAATTCATTGAATTGCCTGGCCTGAGGCCCAGGATGAGGGGATGCCGGGAAGGCCCCAGCCCCGCACCCCGGCCCTCACCTTAGCCGCCCCCACTTTCCTGGGACCCTGGCTGCCAGGCCTCCCCGGCTCCCTCTCTCCGGCCGACGGCACCCACCACCTTTCTCCTCGGGGTCCCAGGTCTCCTGCCCCTTCCTTGTGGAGCAGATGGCCACTCCGGAGGCTCAGGCTTGCTAAATCGGACCTTTAAATCCCATAATCCTCGGTGAGAGGCTGACAGAGGGGCAGCGGCCCAATCCTAGTAGCAGGGGCAGGAGAGAATCTTGTGCCAGCCCTGGCAGGGCGGGGGCGGGAGGGGGGAGGGACAGTTGGTTCCCGAGTTATGAATGGAGCCCCCCGCCCTTGTTGTCATGCAGCCCACAGACTGACCCAGTCTCCCGCTTTTGTTCTCCTCCCGGAACCCCAGCGTGGCACCCCCACCCCTCCCCCAGGCCACGCTCCCCGGACACTCAGGTGGCTGCCTCCCAGCATCACCTCCTCACTCACCCCTGCCATACGGCTGGCCCCACATGGCCTCCGCGGGCGCCCGCCGCCCCCCCCCCACCCCAGACACACAGGTGGTACCAAAATTTTATTGTAAAATATGAAACTGATATAAAAAGGGGGTATAAAAAGGGAGGAGAAGGAGGGGTGTGGGCAAAGAATGCCAATGTGCCTCGCAGAGTGCAAAATCTCATTCTAAGTAGCTGGGGCGGGGGGGAGTAAATAGACCTTGGTAGATAGAGACCCCAGACCAGGGATCGAATCCCTCCAGGGTGTAGGATGGAGTGAGATTTCCTTTTAGGAACTGGGGTTCACAGGGAGGGAAGACAGGATCTGGCCGGGGCCAGCAAGGACACGCCATAGAAACCTGAACATCCCATCCACCAACGGGGACATTAGGGAATCAGCACCCACGAAGGCACCAAGTCTCAGACATCATGTGATAAAAAGCTATTTTGGGGCCAGACATAGATCATTTCATTAACTCTCACAACAAACCCCGTGAGGTAGGTGTGGTTATCAGCATTTCATAAAAATGGACGATAAAATTAGAACAAATTCCACAGCAGGTTAAAATGGTAGAGAACTGGGTTTGTGACCCAGCGTGTGATTGATTCTAAAATGCTCTTTACAGGGAGGAATATTTTCCCACCTCCCCTATGGTTCCTTGTATTAAAAAATCTTTAAAATCTAGGCTGGAAGGGCCTACCTTCCTACCAACCAACCAATCATGAGGCCTACTTTGTTAGCAGAGCCTTAGGCGAAGGAATGTGGAAAAATTCGGGGTGTTTCAGAGGCGCACCTGCACCAAGCAGAGGAATGCACCAAGCTTGTGTGTTCAAGGTCCCAAGTCCCAAAAATGCCAGGGAAGGAGAACAGGGTGAGGCTGTCAGTGGGAGGGGGGCGGGGGGCGTACAGGAAGCAGAGGACGTCAGTCTGAGTCAAGGCCCTCTCTCTTGAACATTGGCTTTTTATGGCGGGAGGTAGACTGCCCCTTCTTAGCCTTCAGGTGGCTGTTGGCGAGACAAGGCGGAGGGGAAGGGATGACGTCAGTGAGTGGGATCTGAGGGTCTCAGACCCAGGCTCTGAAGGGCCCCGGGCTGGAGCAGGGGAACTCAAGCTAAAACGGGTCACCAGCAGCTGCAGATGTTTACTGAGCACCCGGGATACTTGTGTCTCTCGTCTTCATCTTCCCCTACCCCGCCTGACAAACAAGGAAACTGAGTCCGGTAAAGGGAGTCGCAAAGCCACACGGACCTGCTGGGGGTTGGCGGGCTGGGGGCCTGTCTCAACCCCGCGGTGTCTAATACTCCCATGTGGTTAACAGGCCTCTATTTGGGACCCCAGCTCTCAGCTAGGGGGTTGCTGGAAATGACCAAGAGGCACAAAAGGGGGTGCGGGACACAACTCAGAAGAGACTGAAGCCTGACTGAGCAGGGCAGGTCCCACTGTGAGGGCGCCAGTTCCCTTTTGCCTTGAAGGTGGGATTAGAATGGAGTCCCATGGCCCTTTCATGGCAGGAAGGCAGGGGAGTGGGGCGGGGAGAGGGCCCAGGTCACTCACCTGGAGTGAGCCCTGCTTCCGCCTGGCTCCCTTCCATTCAGGGCATCCTTCAGCTCCAAGGCCTCATTCATCTCTCGGAACATCTCGAAGCGGTCACGCCCCCGGATCTGTGGCAGGGGAGGAGGGGGATAAAGAAGTATTACTAGGGCGCAAATCACAGTTCCATTTTTTTTTTTTTTTTTTTAATTTTTTATTTATTTCTAGGAGAGAGAGAGAGATAGCGTGAGCAGGGGAGGGCCAGAGAGAGAGGGAGTCACAGACTGAAACAGGCTCCAGGCTCTGAGCTGGCAGTCAGCACAGAGCCCGACGCGGGGCTCGACCCCAAGAACCGCGAGATCATGACCTAAGCGAAAGTCGGACGCTTAACCGACTAAGCCACCCAGGCGCCCCAAATCACAGTTCCATTTAACGCACGTTGTAAGTGGAGATCTGAAGCGAGGCACTACTGCCCCCTGCTGGCAAATGCCTTAATTGCAGGCAAAGCAGTCAAGAAGAAGACCGCATTTTGAGCGGTAGACTTGAAAACAAATCTTCAACCAGTAATATTGGCGTCAAAGGAATCGGGGCACCTGGATGGCTCAGCCGGTTAAGCGTCTGGCTCTTGCTTACCTGAAGGGTGAAATATTCTCCATCCAGTGGCTTCTTCTTCTGTGGGGGAGTAGAGCTGGTGCTGGGGGGCAGCGCTGGGAAAGAGGGGAGGAAAGGGAAGAGAAGAGTAAATTTTTAGCCAAACTGCACCCTCTCTGCCTCCTCTTGTCCTGCCCGCTTACCTCGCTTAGTGCTCCCGGGCGGCGGCTCAGGGCAAGGCTCCCCCTTCTTGCGGAAATTTTCCTCCTCCGTGCGACGGTCTCTCCCTGGACAGGCACAAACTCGTACCTCGAAGCTGTTCCGTCCCAGCAGCTTCCCACTACCCAGGTAAGAAGACAGAAGCAGGAGGCAGTGAGGGAGACGGGCCCCCCGCCCCGACCTCCAGCCTCCCTCATCCTACGTGGGGCCTAAGCGTCAGGAGTACTGAGAAGCCGCAGGTAAGAGAAGGCCCCAAAGTGAGAAAAGAAAACTTGGTGGACGCGGAGGGTGGGGGATCGCAGAGGATGTTCCACGTGCGGGGATGGGAACGCGTGGGAAGGACTGGACGGGGGTAGCGGGGGAGAAAGGGCCCTGGGGCAGGGTGGCGTGCGGGTCCCTACTTGGAGTCTTCCAGGGTAATGATGGTTATGATGGGCCGTCGGTTCATGCCCCCCATGCAGGAGCTGTTACACATGAAGTTGTAGTGGATGGTGGTGCAGTCGGAGCCGACCTGGGAGAGAAGGTAGGGGCGGGTGGTGAGGTCGCCGGCCCGGCGCGGGCCTGCAGGGTGCGTAGGCTCGTTTCCTCAGCCCTGCAACGGGGACACCCCGGCTGGCTCTGCACACCACACAGGGCTGCGGGGAGGCTGAATAAGGAGAAACCGCCCCCATCTCCCACCTGGATGGCCCTTGACAGACCCCTCCCCCCGCTCCTCCCAGGAGGCCAAGCAGACCTCGGGCGGCTCGTAGGGCACCACGACGCTATGTCGGAAAGTGTTTCTATCATCCAAGTACTTGGCGTGCATATTTCCTTCTACTCGGATGAGATGCTGGGGCGGCGCCAGACCTGAAAGCAATCAGGAAGGAATGAGGGGCGCGGGGACCCTGGGGACCGGCCCTGCCCCCTCTGTCGCCCCCCCCGCCCCGGCCGGCTCACCATCGCTACTGTCAGGGCAGCGCTCGTGGTGGGGGCAGCGCCTCACGACCTCGGTCATGAACTCTGACTTCTTGTAAATGGCCATGGCGCGCACGCAGGTTCCCGGCGGGGGTGGGGAGCTGACCCACAGCTGCACCGGGCAGGTCTTCGCCAGCTGGCAAAACAGCTTGTTGAGGGAAGGGGAGTACTAGAAGGGAAGGAGAAGGGGCAGACAGGTCAGGGGACGAGTGTGTGGCGGGGGCGTCAAGCCAACAAACACGTGCTGTGTGGGCCACGTGGCTCGTGAAGGCGGGGAGCGGGCTCCATATCCCAGAAGCCTACTTGCAAGAAATGGGGTGTGCAGGAAAAAAAGAAGAGAAGTCCCACGGCCCCCTGAGAGATGCGGACAGGAGCGACGACGAGAGCCCAGGGTCAAAGGGGAAATGTCAACTTTGGGACAGAGGCAAGGCCAAAGGTCACAGAGCAAACGAAATAGGTGAAACGTAGGAAGACTGTACTGAGGAGGAATCCCAAAGTTCTGAACAGAGAAAGCCGGGGGGAGGCGGGGGAGGGGGGCGGGCTATGGGCAGGCACGGAACGTCCCCATGGAAACCAGCGCCATAGGGCCACTGACCGTGCAAGTAACAGACTTGGCGGTCCCGGACTGCAGGAACCCTAAACGGAAACCATAGGCGCCCGGGTAGGTCTTCTGGGAAGGGACGAAGGATGACAGGGGCCAGGAGATGGCTGGCGCAGGGGTGGCTGGGGCAGGGGCTGTTGGCGCCGGAGCCGCGGACATTCTGGAAGCGTCATCTGGAGCTTCATCCAGCCAGTTTGCGACATCTTCTGAGAGCGGCAGCTCATTCACCTCCAAGGACAGCTCCGAGGACTGCAGGGGGGGAGACAGGAGTCGGAGGGCCACGTCTCCGGCCTCTGTCCCCATAGGTCCCCAGCCCCCCACCTCCCCACCTCCCGTCCTTACCAGAACGTTGTTTTCAGGAAGTCTGGAAGAAAAGAGCAGAACATGAGTCAGTGCTGGGTTTTGTTTCCTACAGGCTCTGCCGGGGGGCTGGGGGGTCCCAGGAGGCTGGCAGGGAGCCTGCCCCGCCCCCACTTACAGGTTCCACAATTCTGAAAATGTCTCCTGGCTCAGAGGGGGCTCGATGTTGAGCTCCAGCGGTGGCTCCTGCATCGTGGCTCCTGGCAGCGCAGTGTGGCCGCTGTGGAGGGAAGAGCATGGGTCCGGCGTGAGACACCCCCAACCCCGGGGTCGCCCGTCTCCCTGGGAGCAGGGCTCCCCGACCCGACCCTTTGCCAGCCCATCGCACACGTTCTCCAGACGCAAAGGTAACCAGAGATGGGATCCCAACCTTCCCACCGCCGAACCCACAAGCCTTCCTGGAAAGGCGCCCCGCTTCTCCCCTCTTTCCTGGTAAGAAGGGATGAAGCGACTGTCACCCCACTCCCTCCACTTGGGGGAAGATCCCTCCATGATAAAAAATGTTTATTTATTTTTGAAGGAGACAGAGACAGAGCACAAGCAGGGGAGGGGCAGAGAGAGAGGGAGACACAGAATCAGAAACAGGCTCCAGGCTCCGAGCCGTCAGCACAGAGCCCGACGCGGGGCTCGAACCCACGAACCGTGAACCGTGAGATCATGACCTGAGCCGAAGTAGGGCCTTAAGGACTGAGGCACCCAGGTGGCCCCCGGCACAAAGCTTCCTTAACTGCCTCTCAGGGATGTTAGCCCACACCAGTCAAACACCTCCGGCTGTACTCTGTTTTCTGATTTTAATTCCAGTGCACCATCAGACGCCTTTTCTTATTCATTTCGGCTGTTGCCTCTTGGGGAATAGAAACTTCCTCAGGGGGCGCCTGGGTGGCTCAGCCCGCTAAGCGTCCGACTTCAGCTCAGGTCATAACCTCACGGTTCATGGGTTTGAGCCCCGCGTCCGGCTCTGTGCTGACAGCTAGCTTAGAGCCTGGAGCATGTCTTCCGATTCTCTCTCTTTCTCTCCCAAAAATAAATAAATAAATAAAAACCATAAAAAAAAAAAAAAAGAAACTTCCTCAGGGCAGGCGCGGTATCAGCTGTGCTCGTCACAATACCAGCAGTTCAGAGGGGTGGTCCCTGTCCCCGCCAGGGCACTGCCACCAGCTCCTGACATCTTCCCTGAGGCCAAGTTTGCTATCAGCTTTGCGAGAAAACACACCTGTTTCGCGCTTGCGTCCAGGTTCATTGCCTTCTTTGTGTGTGTGTCCTGCAGGGCCCCGACTTTCCATTATAATCTCCCTTAACCTTCACCTCTACCGGCATGGGGTCTGGGGTGTATTTACTTGTGTGTTCTGTTTGGGAAACCCTTGCGTGTGCGTTATCACACTTGTCGCGGTCACCTGACCGGTGAGCAAGCCCGAGTCCCAGAGACAGGTGAAGTGAATTCCCGGAGGGAAGCGAAGTGAACGGCACGCCACACAGGCGAACGAATGGGCTTTTATTAAAAACGACCATTTGGGGCGCCTGGGTGGCTTAGTCGGTTGAGCGTCCGACTTTCGCTTAGGTCATGATCTCGCAGTTCGTGGGTTCGAGCCCCGCGTCGGGCTCTGTGCTGACTGCCAGCTCGGAGCCTGGAGCCTGTTTCAGTCTGTGACTCCCTCTCTCTCTGACCCTCCCCAGCTCGCGCTGTCTCTCTCTCTCTCCTATAAATAAATAAAACATTTAAAAAAAAATAAATAAAAACGACCATTAAAGGACGCCTGGGTGGCTCAGTCGGTTGAGCATCCAACTGTGGCTCAGGTCACGATCTCACGGTTCGTGAGTTCGAGCCCCATGTCGGGCTCTGTGTGCTGACAGCCTGGAGCCTGCTTCTGATTCTGTCTCTCTCTCTCTCAAAAACTAAATAACTTAAAAAAATTTTGTTTTTTTTTTTTTAAATGACCGTTCAGACGTCTAGGAGTAAGATGTTTACTCCATCACAGAATCTGCAGAGCCCTTTTCTGCAATCAGGAAAGCCTGAAGGTGCAGATTTTGGCTGACAAACGTCCCTCAATTAAGAGGTTGGCAAAGAGCTACTCATCATAGCGGCTAATGCTGACGGGGGTTGGGCTATGCCCGTGCGTGGAAAAAGGCAAGAGAGGGAGCCAAGGGAAGTGATCCCAAACACTTGCTTTGTGGGAAAGGACCAGGACCCCCCCCCCCCATCAATGATCCAAAGAACTTTGAGACTTCATGGAAGGGAGCTCAAGAGAACGGAGAGGGGGCTCAGCAGTCAGAAGCCCTCGTTTTGATATTATACTGTTGCTTATACTTGCTGAGTGACTTCACCTATCTCAACTGGCTTCCTCACGGAACAGGCACCGAGTTTTGCTCGTCTTTGTGTTTAATGAAAAGCACCCAGCTGGGGCGCCAGGGTGGCTTAGTCGGTTAAGCGTCCGACTTTCGCTCAGGTCATGATCTCGCGGTTCGTGGGTTTGAGCCCCGTGTCGGGCTCTGTGCTGACTGCCCGCTCAAAGCCTGGAGCCTGTTTCGGTCTGTGACTCCCTCTCTCTCTGACCCTCCCCTGCTCACGCTGTCTCTCTCTCTCTCCTAGAAATAAATAAAAAAAAAAACATTAAAAAAAAAAAAAAGCACCCAGGACCGGAAATACTTGCAGCTGTAGCAGACAGAGCCGGGCTCTGGAGGTGGACAGGCGAACCTGCACCCCAGGCTCACCACCGAATCTTTGCAGAATTTGGGGAGGTTACTTAACTTCTCTGAGCCTTAGTGTCCTTTGCTCTCAAACTGCACCTTACTTATTAACGGATGATCTAAGGAGCTCAGACTAGAGCTCAACCAATGTGTTGGTTTGTAGGGTTATTCCCTGTTTTTTGTTCTATATTATTTTAAAGGGAGAACTTCGTAATTATGAATGGGTGGGGCTTCGGTAGGAAGCCCCCATTAAGGCTAGCTCACCCCCCCTTGGGGAGCTATTCGGTAAATGTGCCACAATGAGCTGTCCAGGAATGGTTAAGTCCAAGCTCGGTCCCCCTGGGAGGGAAACAACCCCACCGACAGAGGAGGTCTTCCTCTTTGGTCCTGGGCAGCAACTAAATTCTCAATGTTTCTTTCTCAAAAAGGCCCAATCACTAGGAAACATTTTCAGAGCAGGTAATTCCCACAGACAAGAGCATCAGGGAGCACCTGGGTGGCCCTGTCGATTGAGCATCCAACTTCGGCTCAGATCGTGATCTCACGGTTCGTGGGTTCGAGCCCCATGTCAGGCTCTGTGCTGAAAGCCCGGAGCCTGGAGCCTGCTTCGGATTCTGTGTCCCCCACCCCCCCTCTCTGCCCCTCCCCTGCTCGCGCGCTGTCTCTCTTTCAAAAATAAATAAACATTAAAAAAAAAAAAGAGCATCAAGGGCCATTAAATTCGATGGTCGAAGCTGAAACAGACTTTCCAAATGGCTGGGGAGGCAGGACGCTGACTTAGATGTCCCCTGTGGATGTCCCCGTGGGAAGGCCATAAACTCAGCTGGGACTCCACTGATGGGCCCACCCCACTCCCATCATTCACAACAATGGCTGCCGTTTATAATCCCCACAGGGGCCCACTGCTTTCAGTGGCTTATCTCATTAATCCTCTCAAGAAGCAAGTAAGGTAGGTATCATCAGCTGAGGGGACCCGAGGTTAAAGTAATTAAGTCACTTACTCAGGCTCAGGGCCAGGGATTTGAACCTGGGCTGTCCACAGCCACGTCCAAGCTCTAAATAATTATGTCCCCCCGCCCCCTCCCCCGGCTTCATCCAGAGCCTGGTGTCAAAAAAAATCTGTTTTGGCTGAAAGCTATTTGATTGGGGTAAAAAAAACAAAGAAGGTTCTGGAAAGTAATAAGGGCGGCGTCTGGTAAAATGGAACACCTTACTACTTTTGCAGCAGGAGGCTTGTGCAAAAATGTTCATGTCAGTGTGGTTCCCGGATGGCAGGTGGTAAGAAACGACGTTACTGTCTATCAGTCGGAAACAGCGGTATCCTCACAAGAGAAATTTACTACAGCAATTGATGGAAATGAATTTATTTGTATATGTGTAACTAGATACAGTTCAGAAAACATGATTGATTAAAAAATACAATTTGAGGGGCGCCTGGGTGGCTCCGTCAGTTGAACGTCCAACTTCTGCTCAGGTCATGATCTCACAGTTCAGGGGTTCAAGCCCCGTGTCTGGCTCTTGGCTGACAGCCCAGAGCCTAGAGCCTGTTTCAGATTCTGTGTCTCCCTCTCTCTCTGACCCTCCCCTGCTCATACTCTGTCTCTCTCTCAAAAATAAGTAAATATGGCCTACTGATGAGCTATGATAGTTTTGATAGGGCAGTGATGATCTCAGATATCAGATATGTATGCTTATGGGACTGGGGATACTATCAAAGGATTCTAGCTTGATTAACAAAAATAAAGAGGGCGCCTGGGTGGCTCAGCCGGCTGAGTGACAGACTTCGGCTCAGGTCATGATCTCATAGTTCATGAGGTCAAGCCCCACATCGGGCTCGCTGCTCTCAGTGCAGAGCCCGCCTCGGACCCTCTGTCCTTTTCTCTGTGCCCCTCCCCTCCCCTCCCCTGCTTGTGCTGTCTCAAAAAAGTAAATTAATTAAAAATAAAAAAAGGGTGGTGTTCATACCTGTGTAATCAACATATAGACTTAGATACGACAAAATATTAAGTGTGATAATTATTTGGTGTACTGATTTGGTGGGAATATAAGTGTTGTGTTATTCTCACCAGTTTTTCTAAAATAAAAAGAAGCAAAAAAAAAGGAAATTATAGAATACTGCAGACAATTTCAAACACGTATATGTCTAGGTGCTCCCCAGAAGCCCACAAATATTTTTTAGGTAAAAATCCACATAAGTTGAATGCACCATCTTACCATGTAGGTAACAGAACTGAACAAATTTTGATACAAGCTTGTAACGTAGCCCTGTCAAGCCTAAGATAGGTTGCCGTGTTTCCTTCTAACAGTTAGTTATACAACAGCATTCGTTCAGACCTTCCTTTCCCCACGGATTCATTTTGGGGCCTTTGTAGAGAACCATTTGACCACACTCGTGTCTTTTCCTGGGCTCTATTCTGTTCATGATTATTGTCCAACAGTAGCCTTATAGTAATCTTGAAGTCAGGTAGTTTAAGGCCTCCAACTTTGTACTACGCTTTCATTTTGGAATCAGCTTTTCAATTTCTACAAATGAACCTGCTAGGGTTTTGAAGGGGGATTGAATCACATTATTTTGGAGAGTGCTGACATCTCAACATTATTGAGTGCTCTTATCCATGAATACGGTACCGTTATTTAAATCTTCTTGAAATTCTCTCAGTAATATTTTGTAGTTTTTTTTTTTTTTTAATTTATTTCTAGGAGAGAGAGAGAGACAGCGTGAGCAGGGGAGGGTCAGAGAGAGAGGGAGTCACAGACTCTGAAACAGGCTCCAGGCTCTGAGCTGGCAGTCAGCACAGAGCCCGACGCGGGGCTCGAACCCACGAACCGCGAGATCATGACGTAAGTGAAAGTCGGACGCTTAACCGACTAAGCCACCCAGGCGTCCCTTATAGTTTTTAACATAGAACTCTTGTCCGTCGTTTGTTCAATTTACCCCCAGGATGTCACATTTTGGGATGTTATTATAAGTGGCATTATTTTTACAATTTGTTTTGTGACTTCAGATTCAATGGTTGTTATTATATAAAATAATTTATGTATATTACCTTTGGAACTTGTGATCATGCTATAATCACTTATCAGTCATGGTGGCTTTTCTTTTTAAAAGATTTTATTGTTAAGTAATCTCTTCTTTTTAAAAGATTTTTTTTTTTTTTTTTAATTTTCTAAATGTTTTTATTTATTTATTTCTGAGAGAGAGAGACAGCATGAGCAGGGGAGGGTCAGAGAGAGAGGTAGATACAGAATTTGAAACAGGCTCCAGGCTCTGAGCTAGCTGTCAGCACAGAGCCCGACGCGGGGCTCAAACCCACAAACAGAGAGATCATGACCCGAGCTGAAGCCGGACGCTCAACCGACTGAGCCACCCAGGCGCCCCTAAAAGATTTGTTGTTTAACTAATCATGGGGCTTGAACCTATAACCTCAAAATCAAGAGTTGCATGCTCTACCGACTTAGCCAGCCAGTCGGTGCCCTTCATGATAATTTTTTCAATGGATTTTCTATTACCCCGGTTAACACCTTCGGTATAATGTTGAAGGGGTGAGAATCCAATTCTTTTATGGCCCCTGTTCTCAGAAGACAAGCAGTCAGTCTATCACTATTATGTACTGATGGTAACGTGATTGGGGGCGCCCTTTAATAGACTGAGGAAGTTTTCCTTTTTCTGGTTTGCTGGGAGGTTGGCTTTTCTTTTTAAATCACGAATAGGTATTGCATAACGTCAACTGTTTTTTATGCATCTGTTGAAATCATCATAGGATCTTTATCCTTCGATTTGCTTATGTGGCAAATTACACGGATCAATTTTTTGCATGTTTGTTATTGCAGTCCAGAGATAAACACCACTTGGTCAGGATGTATTTATCATTTGTCTGTATTATCAGATTTGATTTGTTAACGGGAATATTGGTCTAAATGTTCTTTTCTTGCAATGTCCCTGTCTGGTTTTGGTATCAGGATTCTGAGGATTATCATAAAATCAGTTTGGAAATGTTACCTCTTCTATATTCTTAAAGAGTTTGTGTAAGATTTGGTACTGTTTCTTCCTCAAATGTTAGAGAAGAAGAAAGGAGAAGTAGAATAGAAAACAGCATTAAGATGGTAGACTTAAACCCAAATCTTACAATAATTGCATTACATTTAAATGGGCCAAATGCTCCCATTAAAAGCAATCTAGTGGGGAAAGGAAGGTTATTAGGAGCTAGAAGAACTGGGTATCCATGTAGGAAACACTGAACACAAAACAGAACCTTGACCCCTATCTCTCATCACGTAAAAGCTATTTTAAAATTAGTTAATTAATAATGGCTCATGGACCCAAGTATAAAGCCTAAAACCATAAAGGTTCTAGGAGAGAATATCCTAGAGTATTTCATGACCTCAGGGTCGGCAAAGATTTTTCTAAACAGGTCATAGAAAACATTTGAAAGATAAAAGATGAATCTTCTGCTGCTCCTCTTCAACAAATAGGCAAGCAATAGGTCAAACACAGGAGAAAACGCTTGACAAGAGAGTCCTATCCAGGGCATATAAGGAACTGCCTGCAACTGAACACAGTTAAAAAAAAAAAAAAAAGAAAAAAGAAAAGGAAAGCACATAAACCAACTTAAAGAAATGGGGGAAGATCTGAAGAGTTACCTCCATTATGACGTAGGAATGGCCAATAAGCAGGGGGAAACGGATCGGAGTAAAGAGGATCTCAAATTAACACCACAATCATATACACAACATTAGAAAAGACTGACAAACCACACACATGTGGGAAAGACAGACCTTGCTGGCGGGAGTGCAAAACGGGACAACCACTATGATATCTACACTAGAACTGGCAAGTTTAGATCTCCTCTCTCACCTAGCAATTCCACTCCCGAGTAGTCAGCCAAAAAAAAAAAAAAAAAAAAGTACAAGAATGTTAAAAGAAGCTTTATTCAAAACAACCCCAAACGGGAAACAACTCCAAAGGTCATCGTAAGGAGAACGGATAAACAATCTATCTTTTATTCATCCAACGCGGTAGACTAGATACAAAGCAGCAGAGCATGGATACAAGACTGATACACGCAGGGACACGGCTGAATGTCACAGGCATCACGCCGCAGGCGAGAAGCCACACAAAGCAGCACACACTGCGTGAGTCCATTTACAGGACGTTCTCCAACGGGCAAAACTGGTGGCAGAACCACAGATGAGGGTCAGAGACTGAGTAAAGGAAGACAGGCACGTCCACCTTCCCGGGGGCGATGAAAATGTGCATCCTGACGGGCTCTACGCCGTGCTGAGTTGCCACGACTCGTCTAATCGCAGTCGGCGTAAACGCCACCCCGATTTCGGACCGAGCGGCGCGCGGGCAGCGCGCGCCGGGGCCGCAGCAGGTGGGCGCGGGCGCCGAGCGCAGGCGGGACCCCCGGAGCCCCCGGTGACTGACAGGCGGGGGGCGGGGCCCCGCCCGCCCGCGGGCCCCGCCCCCTCCGGGCCCGCCCCTTCCGCCCCCACGACGTTCGCTCTGCGTCCGAAATCGGAATGGCCGAGCTCGAGCCGGATGCCGGAGAGACCGCGTCTCCGCCGCGGACGGACGGCGCATCGTCGCACGCTTTCATCATTTAGTTCTCAAACGCACCCCTTCTCGCAAATTCCCAGGGCTTGCCCCAGGCTCGCTTCTGAACACCCCCGTCGCACGCAGTGGTAGCGTCCGCCCAGATGGCCGGCGACGGGGTGGAGCACACCATTCAAGGAGGGGGAGGGACTGAGGTTTGCATCAAAACAGATACCCCTTCCGGCCCCAAAGCGGCAGCGAAGTAGCTCGGGAAGGGGGCAAAAGAAAACAGGAGGGGCGGGCGCTGGGCTAGCCGCTTCCCCCCGCAGGCTGGAGGAGCCGGTCGGCATGACACTCTCTCCCTACTTCCCTCTCATGGGCTGCACAGTGAGCTGCTCCGGAAAAAGAAACCGGAAGCGCTCCTGCAAGTGGCAAAATGTAAATGTAGAGCCAAACAATAACAGGGCTCGCGGGCCTCTCGGACCCCGACGGTCCTCCCGGACTTCGCGGGCAAATCTCTCGTGGAGCACTTCCCGCTTTCACAACTGACAGTCTAGTGGGATTTGCTCCATCTAGCGGAGCCGGGGACCGGTTGGAAAGACCACTCCGGGAAGGACAAAGGTCCGGAAGTGATGGGACCTGAGCAGCTTGGGCTTCCCGGATCCCCCCCCGAATGATCATTTCGGAGTGGAGCCCGAGGTTCCACCGGGATGATGTGGGATCCGAGGTTCCACTCGGATCATGAGTCCCCCCAAATTCCGAGATCCGAACGTTTCAAGTCCTGATGCTTTGTGCACCCTATTTCAGGCTTCCCCACACCCAGGCATGGGGTGGGGGTGTGTGGAGGGTGGGGGAGCCCCTTAGGCCGGCTGAAGGTCCCACTCCCCTGTTCGCTCGGAGTTCGGCTGGTCCTCACATCCCCATCATCTACACCGAGGCCCCCCAACACTGCATTCCTATGTCGGTGCCGCCAGCCAAGCGTCCATTCCCCCAAGTCGCTAAGTCCCAGTGCCCCATCCCCAGACCCCGCAATTCTCGCAAGCTGAAAACACACGGAGCCGAGAGCCGGTGACTCAGAGAGGACTCATCTGGCTCGGTCAGGAGCTTACCCGAACCTCAGGGGAGCGTGTCACCGTCCTGGGAAGCACGCTCCGAGGCCGGACGCCAGGGGACCCCGGAGCCCAGCAGCTACCTGCGCCTAGAACGGTGGCTCTGACTTTTGAGAAGCTCAAAACTTTTAGCGCCAGACAGAGCACATGGGAGGGGAAAATCCCAATCCCAGCAGCCCCCGCGAGGCTCCTGGCACAAAGCTGGACAGTCGCCATGACAAGTAAGGGCAAGCAGTTCGCCGGCGGGCGGAGGCGGTGGGAGTGGAGCCCGAGAGCAGGGCAGGGAGAGACCGGATTCTCGCCGTCCTGGTGCTGCAGCTACTTGACACTGGGGTGGGGAAGCTGGGTCAGCCAGAGCTGCAAGGGCACAATCGGTGGAAACCATTTTGGAAGCCTCCCGCCACTGTGTCGAACATGAAGGTGAGAGGAAGAAAGCCACTTGTCATCCATCCCTTTCCCAGATAGCTGGATAGTGTCTTCTCATCAGCTAAAACCAGCCACCTTTTTAGGAAGGACGTCCTTAATATCCCAGTCTAACGTATTTCTTCAGACACCCCGTATCACACACCATCTTGTTTAATTTCCTTCACAGCCCTTGCCGCTTTCTGCAAAAATGTGTTCCTTGCCTTAAATACACAGCCACGTAAGCCTTAGGGAGGGCAGAGCCCTTGTTCTGCTCGCTAACTCGTTGTATTTCTCAGTGCCTCGGATAGTACTGGGTAGCAAGGAAGAGTTCAATAATAAACACTTAGTGAATGAATGAAAAGAGACGGAAGTGTGAGGAATTTGGCGAAGAAGCAAGAGAGGATCGAAATCAAGTATAGCGCTAGCGCCCTCTTGCGGGTGAGAGGGGGACTGGGTGCTTTAAGCGTGACCGACGGAGACGGCAGGGGGAGCTCAGGCCCTTCCAGCCGAGGCGAAAGCTTTCGGACTACAACACCCAGCAGCCACCAGGAGCCCCAGGGCTTCGTGGGTACGGTAAGCCCTCGTGACCTCTCACGTGCCGGCCCCGCCCCTCCCGCGGGTCGCCCGCGAAATCCGATCGGGAGGCGAAGGGCCAATGGCAAGGTGCGGCCAAATCCCGCGAGAGCGCGTGGCTCTTAGGGACCGGGCGGGCTGCGGAACGCCGCGCTGGCCAGCTTCCTGTCGCCGTGTCCGCCTCGCCTTCCCGGGGTCCTCCGCCCCGTCCCGGAGGAAGGAGGCGGGCGCAGGTGGGCGCTCCAGGTCGGCGTCCGGAGCCGTGCGAGCCCTGCGGCAGGGCCGCTGGTAGGCGGCGGCGCCAGGGTTGCCCGGCCGAGGCCGGGGTAGCCGCGCGTCCCCGGCAGCATGGACACGCCGGAGGCGCCCCTGTTAGCTCCGGCCCCGGCCCCCGCCCCCGCCCCGGCCCGCCTCTCGCCTCAGGCTCCCCCGACGGATAAAGACCCGCACCCTGACCTGATGCTACCGCCGGCCGATGGGGACGAGCCGCCTCCCCGCCTGTCCCCGGATCCCACGGCCGGTTCAGCTGGTTCCCAGGACGGAGGGGAGGAAGGCTCAGCTTCTGCCTCCGCTCCCCTGGAAACGGGGTTCGGTACTCCTCGGGAGCTGAGCCCCCGAGTCGAGGAGCCAGAAGTTTCTGAGAATGTGAGCCTTCCTGCGGAAGAGACGGACAGGCCGGAGTTGGGGCCCGGAGAGGCCGCGGCAGGGGTGTCCGAGGAAGCCCCTCCGGAGGATGAGGGATTCAGGTAAGGGGTGATGGCGTGGACGCCGGGGTCCGAGCGCGTTGGGAGCGGGAGCTGTGTGGACGTGTGTACTGTAGACGCGGGTCTTCCCCCCCCCCCCCCGCTTCTCAGGCTCATTTCCTCCTTGCCTTGTGCCCGCACCTCCCTTCCAGCACCTGGAACTACAACTTCTCCCAGCTACCTCGATTTCTCAGTGGCTCCTGGTCAGAGTTCAGCACCCAGCCCGAGAACTTCTTGAAAGGCTGTAAGTGGTAAGTAAGGGTAATGGGGAGGGGGTGGGGGTATCCACACCCGGGACTTTTGCCATAAAAAAAAACACACAAAAAACCGTTATCTTGGAGCAGATCCATCAAGAGGGGAGTTGGGGAAAAAGAGCAAAAGTTCCTCTTGGACTGAGCTTAAATTCCACCTAGAGTTATGTGTCTTCTACTTTTCTCCAGGCCTTGGGGGGCTTACCTACCCCAGAGGGAGCCCGGCACTTGGAAAACAGAGCCCTGTCCAGCTTTCTGACTCTTTCCCGTTTCTAGGGCCCCTGACGGTTCCTGCATCTTGACCAACAGTGCTGATAACATCCTGCGGATTTATAACCTGCCCCCGGAGCTGTACAATGAAGGGGAGCAGCTGGGATACGCAGAGATGGTAAGGGCCGGGGCGCCTCCGGGCTCTGCGTGTTTCAGTCCTTCGCCTAGACGGGGGTGGGGTGGGGGGGGGGATTGAGTCCTCGCCTTTCCTGTTCGCAAACAAAACGTTTCTTCACGAAGGTTCCCAGGTAGCATGTTCCACCCTGGACGTGAAGATACTTACGGTGGTATTTGCCCCTTTTTTAATCGTGAGTGTGTATTTCCCATCAGAGAATGGTGGGCGTGTCGTGAGGCTATTGAGTTGACTTACAGTTATTTATTGAACGGCCGCCAGCGTGTCCGTTACCGTATCTGGTGTTGACGAGAAGTGCTGAAGGAGACAGATGACAAACGTGGAAACCGGCGAACACGGAAGTTCGTTACAAATCGTAATGAGTGGTGTGAAGGAAAGAAATGGAACGAGGAGGAAGGAACCAGAGGAAACCATTTTATTCATTTGTTTGTCTTAAGTTTACTTCTTTGTTTTGAGAGCGAGAGAGAGCGAGCATGGGCGTGCACAAGCAGGGCAGGTAGAAGAAGAAAACAAGCCCAAGTAGGCCCCACACCATCAGCGCAGAACCTGACTATGGCTCAAACTCATGACCTGTGAGATCATGACCCGGGCCAAGATCAAGATTATGACCTGAGCCAAGATCAAGATGCTTAACCGACGGAGCCACCCAGGCGTTCCTAGAGGGGACCGTTTTATTTAAAAGAAAAAATTTCTTTTAATGTTTATTTTTGAGAGAGAGAGAGACCCGGAGCGTGAGTGAGGGAGGAGCAGAGAGAGAGGGAGAGAGACACAGACTCCGAAGCAGGCTCCAGGCTCCGAGCTGTCAGCACAGAGCCCGACGCGGGACTCAAACCCACAAATTGAGATCATGACTTGAGCCGAAGTCGGCCGCTTAACCGACTGAGCTGCCCAGGCGCCCCACAGAGGAGACCACTTTAGATGAAACTGGTCAGGAAGGGGCTCTGAAGCAGAGCCCTGAAGGGTGATGGGATCAGATATGTGAAGAACATTCCAGGAAGAGGTGATGAAGTGACAGAGACCCAGGGCTAAGAGGGAGCTTTGTGTGTTCAAGGAACGGAAAGTAGGCCCGTGTGCCTGTACAGAGGCCGGTGAGGGGGCACGTGTGGTGAGGATGGATCCAACAAGCCATATCGTGTTGGATCCGGTGGGTAGGCCATTTGGGGTTTATTTGGGAAGCCCGGGGAGAGTTTTAAGACGGAAGGATGTGGGGCGCCTGGGTGGTTCAGTCGGTTAAACGTCTGACTTCATTCAGCTCCGGTCAAGATCTCCCAGTTTGTGAGTTCGAGCCCTGCATTGAGCTCTCTACTCTCAGCGCTGAGCCTGCTTGGAATCCTGTCTCCCTGTCTCTGTGCTCCTCCCCTGCTCTCTCTCTCTCTCTCTCTGTCTCAAAAATAAACAAGTGTTACAAAATAAGAGTGAAATGATGGCCAAAGTTTAGAGAGTGGATCGTGGTGAGCAAGAGCGAAATCGGGGATTCATCAGGATGCGTTCCTCATGGTTCCCACGAGGGAGGGCGGTGGCGGGAGACACGGAGGGGCGTGGATGGGTTTGAAGTGTATTTCGTAGGACGTGGACGTCCACCGGATGTGACGGTGCAGGGAAGCGGGCAGTCACGGGTGACATCCAGGTGTTGATGGCCCCGGGGGCGGTGGTACGATTACTTGGCAGAGGGGACGGATCAGAAGAGGCCCTGAGACAAGTGAAGGCTGTTTAGGTCCGTGAAAGGCGAAGCTGAGGGAGAAGCCGGGGCTGGGATGTACTTTGGGAAGCGGAGGAGCAGGTGGGCGGTATCGGGTGTTTCCCGAACGATTCAGTGTCAAGACCGAGTGGCTGGAGAAGGAGGCGGCTCTGGCAGGTGGAGGTGGAGTGCGGGACCGATGGCCGAGGCCGAGGCAGGGTCAGTCAGGTCTGATGCTGTTGAGGGTGAGACATAGACAGTGACCCCCGAAGACGTTAGTGACCTTGGCAAGAGCACTTTCCGAAGAGCGACGGAGGCAGAAGCCGAGTAGAGCGGCTAGGAGAGGAGGTATAGACAGTTCTTTGGAAAGTTACTTTTGGACGCGAGTCAGGAAGTGGAAAGCTGAGCAGAGGGAATGTGGGGCCGAGAAGGGCTAGCGAGGTGCTCCCTCCGTGTCAGGAATGACCCAGCGGACACGGGGGAGTCGATGCTGTAGGGGAGAGAGGCGGGCACGGGTCCCGGAGATGCTGGCTGAGGACAGGGTCCGGAGCCCATCGGAGGACTCGGCTCGGTGCAGAATCCTCTCTCGAAGTAGGCAGAGAGGCAGCTGTTCGGTGGTTGGAGGATTTCGGGGTCTCCTCTCTGTCGTCTCAGGGAAGCGGAGAGGGAGGTGAGCTGCTGAGGGAAGAGGGGGTGTGGGGAGAGCGCGGGAGGTGCGGCTCGTAGGTTCTGGCGAGTCGAAGATGCAAACCCGCAGGGAGCGTGGTGGCGTCGCTGTTCCGTGCTCAGCGCCCACTGGAAATTGGTCGCCGTCTGTTCAGGGTGAGACCGTCACCTTCACTGGGCATCTCTCCCCAGCTTTCCTGCGTGACAGTGGGGACGGTTCTGCCAGCCCCCGTCTCGCAGGGTCATCGTGAGCGTTAAAACAATTAACGTAACGAGTACTCGGTGAACGCCGGTCGTGGGTGTCAGCCTGGTCACGCGTGGAGCAGGAGGGCCGTGTGGCTGGGGGCTTGCCCGCGGGGAACGACAAGGCCGCCTTGAGCATCTGCAGGGGCGACCGTGCAGCGGGTGGCTCGAATGGAAAGCGGGCAAGGAAGTGGATTGTCCACGTATCTTTGCTGAAGCTGAGTAATTGTGGTGGAGAGCGAGCAGGTCAGCTGCACGGCTGGATTGGGGGGGGTGGTGGCTGCAGGTGGTGGTACGACAGGCCAGGGTCGTGGGATGGTGGCTGATGTGTGTGGTTTTTTTTAACTTTTCTTTAAAAAAAACTTTAAGTGTTTTATTTATTTTTGAGAGAGAGAGAGCGTGAGCAGGGGAGGGTCAGAGAGAGAGGGAGGCACAGAATGAAGCAGGTTCCCGGTTCTGAGCTGTCAGCACAGAGCCTGACGTGGGGCTCGAACCCACAAACTGCGAGATCATGACCTGAGCCGAAGTCGGACGCTTAACCGACTGAGCCACGCAGGCGCCCCTTAATTTTTTGAGGCACCTCCACACTCTTCCAGAGTGGCTTCACCAGCTTGCAGTCCCACCAGCCGTGCCAAGGAGATCCTCTTTATCCGCATCCTCACCAACGTCTGTTGTTGCCTGAGTTGTTCACGTTAGCCCTTCTGACGGGTGTGAGGTCGTACCTCATTGCAGTTCTGCTTTGCATTTCCCTGATGAGGGATATTGAGCATTTTTTCATGTGTCGGTTGGCCATCTGGATGTCTTCCTTGGAGAAGTGTCTATTTGTGTCTTTTGCCCGCTTCTTTACTGGATTACTTGTTTCTTGGGTGTGGAGTTTGAGAAGTTCTTTATAGATTTTCGATACTAACTCTTTGTGTGTTACCTCATTTGCAAATATCTTTTCCCATCCCATTGGTTGTCTCTCAGTTTTGCTGATTGTTTCCTTCGCTTTGCAGAAGCTTTTTATTTTGATGAGGTCCCAATAGTTCATGTTTGCTTTTGTTTCCCTCGAGCACCTGACTCTTGATTTCAGCTCAGGTCGTGATATCCTGGTTCATGGGATCGACCCTCGAGTCAGGCTTTGCACTGACAGCATGAAACTTGCTTGGGATTCTTTCTCTTTTACTTCTCTCTGTCTCTCTTTTTCACCTTTCTCTCTTTCTCTCTAAAAATAAGTCAGTATTTTTTTAAAAATGCAAAGAAGCTGGAGTTTGGGGAAGTGAAAAGATTTGGAAAAGGCCTAGGTGAGCAAGGTTGAGGCTCACCCTCCTCCTGTCCCCGAGGTGTGCCCTGGGGAGGGGGAGAGGGAGAGAAGGTGATGACAGCCTCCTTAAGGAAGAAGGGGGCCCAGTTCTGGGGAGGGCCTGGGCGCTCACGTGACAGGGGAAGGCTGGGGGTTCCTGGGTGGGTGTGGTGGGCCACCCTGAAAGAGCTCAGGAGCAGGGGTCGTTAGAAGAGCTGCAAGCGAGGCAGGCTGAGAATTTATTGTGCCACTTCGTTCAAGAAAAACAGGAATGTTGGGGCGCCTGCGGGGCTCAGTCAGTTGGGCGTCCGACTTCAGCTCAGGTCATCATCTCACGGTTCATGAGTTCGAGCCCCATGTCGGGCTCTGTGCTGACAGCTCAGAGCCTGGAGCTGCCTCAGATTCTGTGTCTCCCTCTCTCTGCTCCTCCCTCACTCATACTCTGTCTCTCAAAAATGAATAAACAAAAATTTTAAAAAGAAAGAAAAACAGGAATGTTGAAAAGGGGAAGAGCCATTATTAGCCACCACCACTATTCAGCCCTTTAAATTCCCCTGCTTTGTTTCCAAGCTCTGTACAGAGTGGTGGCTTTTTGTGTGGTTGTGTTCCACTAGGAGGTGGTTTTGTATGCTGCTTTCTTGTTTTCCTAACAGTCGTGTCCTAAGTGATTTCCCGTCTCCATAGTTCTCATAGTTAGTGGTGTCTGACGCTACCCCGAGTGCCCGGGATTGGTGACTTTCTCCCCTGTTCCCCTGTTTCGGACATTTGGGTTGTGTCCAGGATGTTTGTGTCCTGAATTATCAGCGAACGTCTTCATGTGTTTTGATGGAGATTCTTTTCAGAAGAGAAATTTGACGAGTAAGAAATACTCTAGGTCAGGAGTATCAGTGTTTGTTTTACGTCTTGTGAGGCAGAGACCCAGTTTGTCTCCAAAGCTCTTCTGCCTTTTTCCTTTTTCTTTAAACTGCTGTTTGCAGTGTGAGTGTAGCGGCTCTGTCACAAGTGCAGCCATCAGATAATTGCACTTTGTGTGTCTCCACGTTGAGGATATGGGAATAGATACAGCCATGTAGGCGGGGAGATGGGGGTGGCCGCTTTTGAGAACTTCCATACTCCCGTTTCTTTTTCCTTCTTTTTTTTAATGTTTCTTTACTTTTGAGAGACCGACTGTGAGCAGGGGAGGGGCAGAGAGAGAGGGAGACACAATCTGAAACAGGCTCCTGGCTCTGATCTGTCAGCATAGAGCCCGATGCGGGGCCTGAACCCACAGACCGTGAGATCACGACCTGAGCCGAAACCAGATGCTTAACTGACTGAGCCACCCCAGGTGCCCGTCCATACACGTGCTTCTTCTTCCCGACGTGCTTTCTTAATTCCTCTCTTCCCTTCTGTGCCTTTTTACAGAGCTTTCTGGAACTCCTGTTCCCAACTCCCCAGCCCCCAACCCTGCGTTCTGTCCCTGCCCGGCCCCAAGGCCTTCGCTCCCTCTAGCCCTACCCCGAGGTGCCTTGGAGGGGGGCTGCCCTCATCCCCAAGTACTGCATTCAGACACTTGCACTTTCTCTTTGTGAAAACTTTTCCTTTGAGGCTTCTGCTGTTTGGTTCTCCCTCATTCACCAAGGTCATGGGCACCTCGCGGCTGCCCTGTGCACCCCAAGGCTTTCCACCATCCTGGTGACCTCAGGTATCCAAACCAGAAGCTGGGTCTCATACTTTCCCAGCACCCCCCATTCCGATTAATTGCTAGATCCCATGGAGTCCCCTTATCTCTGTGATCCATGTGCTTCTCTCTACTCTGCTGTCCCCGCGGTAAGTCCTGTCTTACAATTGGGGGCCTCATGTTACTGGAACTGTCTTCTGTCTCGCTCATCAGGACAGTTCTTGCTGACTGCGGGTGACACGCTAGGTGTCGGGGAAGCACAGCTGCGATCGTTGCCTCCTCAGATGGGTACGATGCAGGGTGAGGAGCAGCGGGCTGTGGGAATGGGGGGGGCACCTTGCTCCGTTCCAGGGCGTAGGGAAGGCTTCCCAGGGGAAGAAGCACCTAAGAGACTGGAAGCGTGATTAGTGTCCAACCAGGAGAAACTGTCGAGGGAGGCAAAGGAAGAACGTTCCAGACCTGGGCGCTGGCGTGCGTGAAAGCCTGTAGATGGGGAGTACCGTATGTTGGCACCTTCTGGGAGCTGGGAGTCCAGCGGTGGGATGGAGAGACGTTAAAGGGGTGAGTACAGAGGGGTGAGCGAAAGGTGGGTAGGGGGCAGGCACCCTGTCAGGAGATGGGTTCTCTACTGAGGGTTACGCGGAGCCATTGAGCGTTTTAAGGCGAACGACGCTGGACAGAGTCCCAGCTTCACGAGGTCCCTGTGGCCTGCAGGGCAGGGCGAGGGGGGGCTGGAGTGCGGCCCCACCGGGGCGGGGGGTCAGCTCACAAGCTGGTAGAAGTGCTGGCAAGATGGCGGTGGCTTTGCGTGGGGACGGAAGGGCGGGAACACGCGGGCGGGGGACTCGGGAAGTGAGTTCTGCCAGCTGTCACTTGGCTGGACCAGAGGCGGAAAGGGGGCGATGAGTAGGAGAGGTCAAGGCTGCCGCTCAGATCTGAGGCTTCGATACTGGGATGTGGAGCCCGGGGGTGGGGCAGGTTGGAAGGAGGCGGAAGCAGGGTCGGTCACAGACAGGCCGAGTGTGAGACGCCCGCGGGACGTGCGGGTGGCGCGTGGAGCCAGGCGGCCTGACATGTGTGGAGACTGAGGTCCCGGGTGCGCGACGTCACGCCGAGGGCCAGCAAGTAACTGACAGAGGGCTGATACCAGGTGATTGAAAAACTCCCTTCCAGTCAGTAAGGAAAAGCCAATAGCTTAGAAAAGCGAGCAGAAGTGACAGGAAGGTGTACGCAAGCAGCTAATCAACATTGGGATGACTGTCCGACCTCTGTGGTCATGAGGGAGAGGCACAGCTGTACTCTAGGGAAAATCCACTTCACGCCTTAAAAAAATTTTTTTAATGTTTATTATCGAGAGAGAGAGGCAGAGCATAAGCAGGGGAGGGGCAGAGAGAGGGAGACACAGACTCCGAAGCAGGCTCCAGGCTGTCAGCACAGAGCCCAACATGGGGCTCGAACTCACGAACTGGGAGATCATGACCTGGGCGGAAGTCAGACGCTTAACCGACTGAGTCCCCCAGGCGCCCCAGCACAGCCTTTTATTGAGAAAAAGTTGAAAGTCCGGCAACACCAAGGGGAGCCACAGGTACTCGCAGGGCGCCGGTTGGGGGGAGAGTGAATCAGGGTGATCTCTTTGGGCTACTATGTGACAGTGACCGTATCTGGCAAAGGGCACGCTCTAGACCCTGGTCAATTAGCAGAAGCCGCAGGGAGGCCCTCCCGCACGTGTACCAGAATGTTCAAAGCCCACCACCCAACGTACGGAGAAATGCGGGTGACTGTCAGAGCAGGCTCGCGAGTGGGGTACTGCCCAGTGGTGAAGGTGCCAGAATCAGAGCTGCGAGTGTCCCCGCGGTCAGGCCCTCCCACCCCCCCATCACAGAGGAACACGTGTGCTCTGGTACCTGGTACCGTTGGCATTGAATGTAAGGGCCTGCGGGACGATGGTAAACGCCTGTCCTCTGTCCCCCGGGTGCTTTTTGTGTGAACACAGTTCTGCAGCAATGCGCGAATACCCCTGGGGAGGGCGTCCTTGGGAAGAAGCGTTAACTCGTTTGTATTTTATTTTTTAAGCCAGGTGGAGTGGTCACAGGAGCTTTTAAATATTCTTCTTTGCAGGTTTGAACTGGCTAAGACAATTTTTTAGAGGATCTAATGGCTTCTAGTAGGTGCACAGTAAATGTTCGTTTCAGTGGTTGGTTCAGGGTTTCTGTGTAGGGATGTTACTTCTTTTCTTTTTTTTTTTTCTTTAAGTTTATGTATTTTGGGGCGCCTGGGGGGCTTAGTTGGTTAAGCATCCGACTTTGGCTCAGGTTATGATCTCACGGCTTGTGGATTTGAGCTCCATTTTGGGTGACCATGAGCCCCGCTTCTCTCTCTCCCTCTGCCTCTCCCTCTCTGCCCCTCACTCACTTATTTTAATTTTTAAATAAAAATTAAGGGGCGCCTGGGTGGCTTAGTCGGTTGAGCGTCTGACTTTCGCTTAGGTCATGATCCCGCGGTTCGTGGGTTTGGGCCCCGCGTCGGGCTCTGTGCTGGCTGCCAGCTCAGAGCCTGGAGCCTGTTTCGGTCTGTGACTCCCTCTTTCTCTGACCCTCCCCTGCTCACGCTGTCTCTCTCTGTCTCCTAGAAATAAATAAAACATTTAAAAAAATTTTTTAAAAAGTTTAAGTATTTTTGGAGAGAGAGACAGAGAACACAAGCAGGGGAGGGGCAGAGAGCGGGGTAGGGAGTGGGACAGAGGATCTAAAGCAGGCTCTGCGCTGTCAGCACAGAGCCCGATGCGGGGCTTGAACTCATGAACCGGGAGATCATGACCTGAGTTGAAGTCAGACACAGGCTCAACCAACTGCGCCACCCAGGCACCCCTTCCTTGTTTCTTCTTAAGTGTTTAAAAAGGAAAAGGAGAAGTCTGTGTGGTCTTTGATGCCCCAAATCACAGTCTGAGCTGGTCCTTGAACGTTGAGATCAGGAATGTTCTTCCTATCAACACCATCTGCTTCTCCTCTGGTTAAGTGCTGACAGACAGTCCTCCTTTGTCATAAAACTTCCGGGTGCACGAGGCTGCCTCCTCTTCCCGCCAGTGACCCAGGCACCCCTGCATCTCTGTCCAGGCCCCTGTCCTTCGAATGGTGGAAGGTGACACCATCTACGATTACTGCTGGTATTCTCTGATGTCTTCGAGCGAGCCAGACACGTCCTAGTAAGCAATGTCCCTTGCCTCCCGTCCGCCGTCCCCTCTCGTTGCCCGGCCCCCAAGTTTCAAGGGGATCCCGTACTGAGAGAGCTAGGGACTGCCCGGGGCCTCGGGGAGGGAAGGCTGGCGCACCCTTCCGTGCAGGCCGAGAGGGCCGGCCAGTTGGCTTCCTCCCCTTCCTTTGACAGCGCCCGGGCCTCCGTGTCTCTCTCAGCGTGGCCAGCAGCAGCCGGGAGAACCCCATTCACATCTGGGATGCGTTCACCGGGCAGCTCCGGGCGTCCTTTCGAGCCTACAACCACTTGGTAGGGGCCTCCCCGCCGGGTCCCAGGGCTCGGCCTCGCTGCGCCGCCTCCCTGCCGGGGCCGCCAAGGCCGTTGCAGGCCTGTTTACGCTGCTGTCCTGCCCGCAGGACGAGCTGGTGGCGGCCCACTCGCTCTGCTTCTCCCCGGACGGCGCGCAGCTCTACTGCGGATTCAACAGGACCGTGCGCGTGTTTTCCACGGCCCGGCCCGGCCGCGACTGCGAGGTCAGGGCCACGTTTGGTGAGCATGTGCGCCTCCCAAGGGAGGAGGCGGGAGGGCAGCGCCACGTACGGAGGGGTCTTGGTGACCTGGGGGGGGGGGGGGTGCCTGGCCTGTCACGGCATCTTCAGTCCCGCCCAGGGAGGCGGTTGGACTCAGTGGGCAGAGGAGAAGACAGATGCAGGGAGGGGCCGGGACTCTCCCCAGGCCAGCCCGTTCGTTCCCCAGCCGGCGCCCTGTCGCTGGTGCGCCTTTTGGTCTCCAAAATCCCGGTGTCTCTGGGAAATTGGAGGTGAGGCTGATTTCATTTTCCTCCAAGCCTTCAGCTCTCCATCCATTCGGGAAGAAACAGCTCTGAGAAGGAAGAAATAAGTCCTGAGCATTTAGGCCCTTCGCGGGGATAGAAGGGTCTGGGGACACCAGAGACGGCTAGCCTGCTTGTGACGAGCCGGGCGGGCGAGGCACTGGGTCCCTGCACCCGGGGCGAGGGACAGACGCCCCTCTGATGAGTCCGGTCAGTGTCCGGTGTCCTCACCCTGTCCCCGACGTCGTTCCGTCCCTTTCTAGCGAAAAAGCAGGGCCAGAGCGGCATCGTCTCCTGCATGGCCTTCAGCCCGACCCGGCCGCTCTACGCCTGTGGCTCCTACGGCCGCTCCCTGGGCCTGTACGCCTGCCACGACGGCTCCCCTCTGGCCTTGCTGGGGGGACACCAAGGAGGCGTCACTCACCTTTGCTTTCACCCTGATGGCAACCGCTTCTTCTCCGGAGCCCGCAAGGTACGGCACGTCCTGCGATCGCGCAGAGGGTGCACGGCAGGCGGCAGCGGCGGTGTAGCCTGGGATGTGCTGGGGGCCGAAGCCAAGCTGGGGGGCGTCTGCAGACGGTGAGGGGAGCAGGGGTGCCTCGTTGGGGGAGGGCGAACGGGCTCCAGACCCCCGGTCTATGTCGTCAGGACGCCGAGCTGCTGTGCTGGGATCTCCGGCAGCCTGGCCATCCCCTGGGGGCCCTGAGTCGAGAGGTGACCACCAATCAGCGCATCTACTTCGATCTGGACCCGTGAGTGACGGGGTCCTTCCCGCCCAGGGTCCCAGTGCCCCAGGGATGCCAGAGCCCAGCCACAGGTCCCCGCCCCTGGCTGTGAGGGGTCCCCGCCCCAGGGGTGAGGGCTCGGTGGGGGGGGTCCCCGCCCCAGGGGTGAGGGCTCTGCATCAACAAGCTTCTCTTCCCAGGACTGGGCAGTTCTTAGTGAGCGGCAGCACCAGCGGGGTGGTGTCCGTGTGGGACACCGGTGGGGCCGGGCACGAGGGGAAGCCGGAGCCAGTGCTCAGTTTTCTGCCCCAGAAGGACTGCACCAACGGAGTGAGGTCGTCAGTTAATCCACAGACCTGGGGCTCCGGGCGGGGGTGGGGGGGTGCTGACGGACCCTGTGGGGGGCTGCTGAGGGAACAGGCATCCTCTCGGTGCCGACGGACCCTGCCCGTCTCTCTCCAGCCTGCACCCCAGCCTGCCATTGCTGGCCACCGCCTCGGGCCAGCGTGTGTTTCCGGAGCCCACGGAGAGTGAGGATGAAGGGGAGCAGGAGGTGGACCTTCCCCTGCTCTCCATGCGCCACGTCCACCTTGAATGTCAGCTCCAGCTCTGGTGGTGTGGGGGGGCCCCAGACACCGGCGTCGCTGATGCCCACCAGGGCAGGGAGGGGCAGGGGGCGGTGGGGGTGAGTTGATATAAAAAGGTTTTCTATGATGCTGGAGTCTTTGTGTCTTTTTGGGGAGCCACTTGGTGGAGATGGGGGGCCCTGGCGGGGTACAAGGGGGCTCCCTTGTCCGGGGCGCGGTGGGGGAGGCATCTTGCTCCCGACACCCGGGTTGAGAGGTGGGACTAGGCGGGAGCCAATGGGGCTGCGGAGCTCGGTGTGAAGTCAAGGGAGTGGGGGTGGGGCTTCATGCCATTGACTGGCCGGTTGCTAGGCAACTCGGTAAACTGAAGGGGGGGCAACCTGTTTGAAATCTCAGTCCCAAGGTGGGGGCGGCAGGGGTCAGGGTGAGCGTGGCTGCGCAGGAGTGGCAGGAGCCGTGTGTCAGACTGTTGGGTGTGACTGTGTGAGACTGTGCAGACAGTGACAGACGAGACACCCGCTCACTCGCGCTCGACACTGTTTACCACCCTCCAGCAGCAGAGGGACCATTACTCAGCTCTGGGGGAAGGGGAGCAGGAGCGCCCGCCTCTCCCCCTGGACTCCCCCAGCAGGCAGGCAACTGAGTGGCCAGAGTCAAGGACACGCAGCAAAGAGTAAAGGTGCCGAGAAACCACAGACGTCACCTGTCACATTCCATATTCCTGCTACATGCGGGGCAAGGGCGGGGGTCTTCCACTGGCCAGCTGTCCCTGGTCCCGTTTCTCCATCTATCCGCTTGCTCGGGGGCTGGGGGGGGCGAGTATGTTATTTCAGGCAGTGCCTCCTCCCCACCCCCACCCTCGCCGGAGCCTGAGAAGGGGGCTCTGAAGAGACTGTCAGCAGGGGATCTGCTTTGGGACCTCCCCATCAGAGGGAAGGGACTAGGGGCCTGTGGCGGCTGAGGGGCGAGGAATGTCACCTCTGCCCAGAGATGCTGAAAGCGAGGGTTCTTACACCCAAAAAGGCAAACCCTCCTCCCTTCCCCCAGGATAATTGGAAACAGCCCTTCCGGCTGAATGTGGGTTTGGGGAAAGGTACTCCCTTTCCGCCCCCAGCCCCGCTTCTCCCCACAGCCGTGCGAGAAGGGCCCGAGTTTACCCCCCTTCACCCTCGCCTTGCACCCAATCCCAGGTAACAGGCGAGGGCCCGGGAGCCTGGGACAAAAACCGACCCCAGGAGGAGGAGTTCGGCGGCCTGGGTTAGGTTTCCGCCTTTATCCCAGACTCCCCGGGTGACCTTGGGCAAGTCACGGGGCCTCCCCGAGCCTCAGTTTCTTCCCCCCTGCAATGGGGAGCCTGCAGCCCTGCCCCTCCCACTCGACACAGGTAGTCGCGACGGCCAACTCAGCCCACTTCGCAAAGTGCGGAGGCTTCAAGGTTATTACTATTCTCTCCAGACCTGCCGGGGAGCCGCGGCGGCGCTCCGGGCTGGGGGAGGAGGCGGCGGCGGCGGGAGCCTCGGGGGCCGGGCTCCTCCGGGTGGCGAGGGCGAGGGCCTTTCTGGATCCGAGAGCGGAAGGTTCCAGGCGCTCGGGCGGCCCGGGGGCCGGCGGGGGGGCCGCGGCGGGGACAAAGGGGGCGCGGGGGGCCGCGCGGGCGGCTGGGGCGGGGCGGCGGGGCGGGCGGGAGGTGCGCGAGGTGAGGGCGGCGTGGGGGGCGTGGGCTGCGGGCTCCGCCGCCCGCTCCGCCGCGCGCTCCAGCTCCGGCTTTTCCCTCCGCCAGCCTCTCCCCCTCCCCGCCACTCCTTTAACTCCCCCCTCCTGGGCTCGGGACTGGTTTCCTCCCTTAGCCCGCTGCCCTCAATCCCGGCGAGGCTGGGGCTCCGGCGCGCGCCCCTCCCGCGCTCCCGCGTGCGGCGCCCCATGCCGCCCCCGCCCGGCCCCCGGCTGCCCCAGTCCCCCACTTAGGCCGGCTCTCCGATCCCGGGGCGCTGGAGCGTGGGCCGGGGGCGTAGGGCGCCTGCAGGCGGCCCCGGGAAGGGCTCTAGCGGGCTGAGCGCTCCGCGGCAGGGGCGCGGGCAGAGCAGGAAGCGGGTCCGCGTGGGCGCGGGGGGCGGCCGCCACCGGGGTGGTCGGGGCCGCATCGCCGGGGCAGCCGAGGCGGTCGGTCACCGCAGGAGGGTGAGCGACTTTGGGGGAGTTGGTGCCCCGCCCCCCACAGGCCTTGGCGGGGTCATGGGGACCCCCCGTTCTGGGCCGGGGGGCGTGCGAGTCGGGGCCCTGCTGCTGCTCGGCGTTTTGGGGCTGGTGTCTGGGCTCAGCCTGGAGCCTGTCTATTGGAATTCGGCGAATAAGAGGTGAGTGGCCCCGGGCTGGGGAGACCCCACACCCTTCGGGCAGGGAGTAGGGAGGCTTCGGGGGCGCGGGGGGCTGGCTTCTCCGAGCTGGGAGGAGGCTGGAGGGAGGCTGTTAGTGCTCTGATTCGAGCTGATGGGTAAGAGACGGAGGTGATCTTGGGAGCGAACAGACGCGGCTGGATGTGGGTGGCGATCACCGTGTGTCGGGAGTTGGAGAGACCTCACAGGGGGCAAGGATCGGAAAGTTCACGGGTAGCCGCCGGGAGGGTGGTGAAGTGGTTATTTGGGTTTGTGAAAGACTTGTGTCCTGTCGGGGGCTGGGCTTGGAGGGAGCCTGGTTAATGTCAGCTCTCCCGAGAGCCGCCGAGTAGGTGCGGCTGAGCGCGCAGGGGAAGGGCAGGGTGCCTCCCTCCCCAGGAGGGACTGGCGACCCGACGGAAGGGGGCTCAGTTTGGGGGCTCCGGGGACAGCTCACCCAAGGCTTCCTGACTCTGTCCACACCATCTGTCTCCTGACTCTTCGAGTTCCCAAACCAGAAGATATTCCTGCCTTCCTGGCTTGGAGACTTTTTTTTTTTTTTCCTGAAAGAAGCCTGGAGCCCCCTAAAGCCTCCTTCTTTCTCTCTTGTATCTGGAGTCCTGAGGACTCCTTGGCCCCCCCCCTCCCCCATCTGTGTTGCAAACTCTTCCATCAGACCCCTCTGGTCCCTGGCATGCTTGCTTTGCTCTGAAAAAAAAGGCCAAGGGTCACATGACGCTTCAGATCACACAGGGTAAGACCTGGGAGGTCATCTAGGACCCTGGCCTCCATGCAGATCCCGCTCCCCCTTAGCAAAAGAGTTCTGTGTTTTGAAAACTTCCTACCTCCCTGGGGAGCCCAAGTGAGGCCACGGGAAGGAGGAAGGGGGTGGGCTTCAGAGCCCATAGGATCCTGGGTCTTAATCCGAGCTCTGCTGCTTTCCGCTGCGTGGCCTTGGGCATGCCACTTAACCTTTCTGGGTTTTAGCCTCCATCCTTACACCTTTTATGAGGATTAGAGGTAAGGTGTTTGAACACATTACATGCTCATTAGAGGAGAACTAGAATTACTGTTTGTCTTCTCTTGACTTCCCAGCCTCCCTCCCTCCCTCCCTGCTGTGTGTCTTTGGGTAGAAACTCAAACGTCTTTCCTCCTACCCACCAACCCCCAGCTGCAGTTGGAGAATCAGGTGCAGCCTGAGGAAGTTAGGCTTATTCTGATAGGGTTGAGGAAAGGGGGGGGTAAGGGGGGGTATGGTGTTTGGGGGACTCTTTGGGATGTTGCGGGGGAAGGCGTGGGTCATTTGGGCGTCTGGGGAGATACTTTGCAGGGGTCCCCGGAGGACCCAGCTCTGAGACCCCGTGGCCATTGACGCACAGGAAGGGGTCACAGGCGTTGCAAGGGGCGGTGCTGGGCCAGTGGGCCTGGGGCTGAGGGCGATGTGGGCTCTAGGCTGTGGTTAGAAAAGTCAACTCCCTGAGTTCCAGAGCAATAAGACACTTTCCCTAGGAAGTCCGAGACCTGGGGGAGGAGGGGTACTGGGCAGGGGGGTGTCTGGGACAGCTGGCCCCCAGACCATGGTTCCCGTTAGCCTCATGTAAGGCCATGGCCAGGCCAGGCACTTAACTCCTGTCGCATCGCCCGGCTGACTTGGGACGCTGGTCCGGATTCCGCGCCACCCCCGCCTCCGCCCCCCAGCTCCTCCCTTGCCCTGAAATCCCTCACATTCAGTGGTGGCCTGGGGGAGGGGAGGCCCTGCCCCCCGTGGTGGTTGACTGCCGTGGAATCGTGAAATCACCTGGGATGGGTGGGCTGTGTGGTTCCAGAGAGGCCAGCTCCTTGGTAACTGGCATCCTGTTGCCATGGCAACGGGGCTAGTGATGGAGGAGAGATGGCAGTGTGCATGTGGTGAGGGCGGGCTGGAGAGTGCATTTGGGCACCGAGGGCCTGGAGATTTCTGCGCCTGGCTTCCCGCTGCTCCCCAGCCCTCGGTGCCCGCCCTGTCGGAACAGACTTTGCACTCAGACGAAGGCTGGCCTGCAGGGATGTGGGGTGAGGGAGGCAAAGCTCTGGTGGCCAGACCTCTAACCCCTCCCCTGGTCCACCTTGAACCTCCTCCTGACAGGTTCCAGGCCGAGGGTGGTTACGTGCTCTACCCTCAGATCGGGGACCGGCTTGACCTGCTCTGCCCCCGGGCCCGGCCTCCTGGCCCCCACTCCTCTCCTAATTATGAGTTCTACAAGCTGTACCTGGTAGGGGGTGCCCAGGGCCGGCGCTGTGAGGCCCCCCCTGCCCCAAACCTGCTCCTCACCTGTGACCGGCCGGACCTGGATCTCCGCTTCACCATCAAGTTCCAGGAATACAGCCCTAACCTGTGGGGTCACGAGTTCCGCTCGCAGCACGATTACTACATCATCGGTACTGCTGGGCGGAGGGCGGGGTCCTCGGGGCGCCCCCCCCGCCCCCCCCCCAGACTGAGGGGCAGAGGAGGAGCCGAGAGAGCGCCCTGATGCCCCCGGGGTGGAGTCAGGGCCAGGGACTGGGGCCGGAAGAGGGGCTCGACTCTGGCGTGCCAGCTTCCCCGCCTGGCTCCTCTCTCGCAGCCACGTCGGACGGGACCCGGGAAGGCCTGGAGAGCTTGCAGGGCGGCGTGTGCCTCACCCGGGGCATGAAGGTGCTCCTCCGAGTAGGACAGAGTGAGTGGGGGGCCGGGGCACACCCCCTAGGCGCCGAGGGAGGTGGGGGCGGCCCCGTCGCCGTCCGGGCGCTGCTGTCTCAGCCCCCTTTTGGGTCTTCCTCGTCTCCAGGTCCCCGAGGAGGGGCTGCCCCCAGAAAGCCTGCGTCTGAGGTGCCCGTGGAGAGAGACCGGGGGGCAGCGCACAGCCTGGAGCCTGGGAAGGAGAGCACGCCAGGTAGGAACCCGGGCTCCAGCGTCCTGCCTCCCCCCTCCCCCCCGCCTCCGCCGCCTCTGCTCTCAGACCCCAGCTGCCCTGCCTTCACCCTCTCCCTCCGGCTTCAGTTTTGGGGGGGGGTGGTACAGGAAACAGGAGACAGGGTGGGAGGGGAGTGGAAGCCAAGTGAGGAAAAGACTCAATTAGAAGTAATTAGCCAAGCCGGTGCTTCAATCAGTGCTGCCAGAGACGTGGGGGGAGACTGCTGGGCACCCAGCTGAAGGGCTGGACACACCTGGATCCTGAGTGGGGGTGGGGGGGCCGGGGAGGTGGGGTCCCCAGGGGGCTCAGGCGCTGCCGGGGAAGCCCGCGGGGACCCCCGAGGCTGGGTGTCCGGATCCCCAGGTGGTTCCTTCAGCCCCTCCCCCTCTTTCCTCCTTCACCCCTTCCCTGCCAGGTGACCCCACCAGCAATGCAACCTCCCGGGGTGCTGAAGGCCCCCTGCCCCCTCCCAGCATGCCCGCGGTGGCCGGGGCCGCGGGGGGGCTGGCGCTGCTGTTGCTGGGCGTGGCAGGGGCTGGGGGTGCCATGTGTTGGCGGAGACGGCGGGCCAAGCCTTCGGAGAGTCGCCACCCTGGGCCCGGCTCCTTCGGGAGGGGAGGGTCTCTGGGCCTGGGGGGTGGCGCTGTGATGGGACCCCGGGAGGCCGAGCCTGGGGAGCTAGGGATAGCTCTACGGGGAGGAGGGGCTGCAGACCCCCCGTTCTGTCCCCACTATGAGAAGGTGAGTGGCGACTATGGGCACCCTGTGTACATCGTGCAGGATGGGCCCCCCCAGAGCCCTCCTAACATCTACTACAAGGTATGAGGGCTTCTCCTACCCGGCTCTCCTGGATCCAGCCCTTCTCGGGTGCTCCTCCGGTTTAGGTCACGGTCGGAGGGCCGCCTCTGGCGTCTCCTCGGCCCCTCTGCCCCCCCCCCCCGCCCCCCAGGTCCTGTGCTCCTGGCTGTTGTCACCCTGTCCCCCTCTTCTCCACTCTTAGGACTCCTTAAGACTCCTGCCCTCGGTTGGCCACGTGTGCCCCCTCCCCGTCTCTGTGCTCCTGGGTCCTCTTTCCTTGGGGAGGGGGCAGGGACGCAGCCTCCTCTCCTGCCCGCGACCCGGCCACCCCGTGCCCCTGACCCGCCGAGAGCTCGGGGCGGGAACGGTCTGTCTTTTGTTGGCGTCTCTTCCTTTCTGCCTCTCACTGTTTTTCTCTTCTTGTCTCCTCTCTCTCTTATTCTCTCTGTCTCTTCCGTCTCTAGGTCTCTTCCTCTTCCCTAGCGCCCCCCTCCCTATGCCTCCTTTTACCCTCTCGGCTTCTGATCCTCTCCCATCTCCCGGGTGGGGGGGATGTCCGCGTCCGCGCCCTCGGCTCCCTCCTCTGACCTCTCTCACCAGCCCTCCCCTCGGTGTGCCAAAAGTGGGGGCCCTAACCGGGAAGGCTGTGGCACTCCACCCCAGCTGTCGGGGCTTGGGCCGCGGGGCCTCCTTCTCGGCCCTGGCCCCCGGGCCTCCACGTCCGGCCCCCGGCCCCGTTGGGGCGGTTGGGTCATGACAGCCGCCATGAGAAGAAGTGTCGTGTTTTGTCAGTGGCCCTTAGCAAGATCTGACCCGGTCGGGACACACGTGGCTTTGGCCTGGTGCTGAATGGGCCACTCGGGACAGGAAGTGACTTGCTCCAGACACGCAGTGGCAGAAGCGGCGCGGCGGAAACTGGAAGTGCCTTCGTCCAGGACAGGAAGTAGCACTTCTGAAAGAGGAAGTGGTCTGGCTGGAACTCCAAGTGTGGCTTAGTCTGGGGGGCGCGGTGGGGGGAGGGGGCTGGTTCTGACTCTGTGGAGAAGTGGGGGGGGGGGTCAGGAAGAACTTCCTGTTTGAGGAGGAAGCTGGAACTCACTGACTGTGAGAAGGTAGGGTGGACTGAGGAGGATTCTGCTTCCCCGGGGTCTCCCTTCCCTGTTCACTGTGCTGCTTTTAGGACAGTGAAGGTGACTGCCATTGGTGGTGGCAGGCCCAACTTGTCTTGTTCTTCTGCCCTTTTCCCTACCCCAGTAGAACTCTGTTAATCAACTGGACTGTCCCCAGAACCCACGTGTCGTCCCCAGTAACCCAGAGGGCTGTCTTGTGCAGGACACCCTCTCACTCTCTAGTCCTTTGCAACTCCACACGGCTCCCTTCTTAGTGACCAAAATGGTGGCCTACTGACTGGTCTGGCCGACCGACCGTGGTCCCTAGCAACTGTTTCCATAGTGACCAGCGTGTACTATTTCCTGCCCTCTAGTGCACCACGGGCCTCAGTTTCCTCCCAGCTCGATTTCATTAGACCAGAGCTGCCCTCGGGCACCGAGTCGGCCACCTTAATCACCAGCCAAGATGGTTGCTTTGTCCGCCAGAGGTCACGTCATCTCTCTGGTGCCGTAGTAGTTCCCAGCTCCTTCCTGATTTTTCGGATCGCTCCTTCCCAGAGAACAGGAAGTTGACATTGCCATGGGGGAGGTGGCGGGGTATGGCCGTCACCTCGATAGTTTTACTGTAAAAGGGAAATTTGAACAACAAAAACCAAAAAAAGAAAAAAAAAGAATAAAAAAGAATAAAAAACTTCAAAAGTTGACAAGGAGACTGGAGACTGACTGGGTGGGAGTCGGAACAGAGAACTGGCCGTGGGCGCTGGCTTTCAAACCGAGAGCTGGGTCTCACGACGCCAGCCAAGGGGAAGGGTAGGGAGACAGCTGGAGGTGGGGAGGGGGGCAGCACATGGGGAAGGGGTGGGGTGAGAAGGCCACGGGAGGCAGGCAGTCACCTCCAGGGGAGGGAGAGAGGAGCCCAGGCAGGAGCGAGTTGCCGGTACATCCAACGGGGACATATGTGGACGCGCCCCAAAGCCCCGGAGACCAGGCGAGTCGCGGTCAGAAACATGTTCACGGGTTCAAATCCCCGCCCCCCTGCCCAAGGCACCTGTGACTTGGGGAGTTTTGCTGTTGGGGACTAGTGTGGGGAGAAGCGGCGGGTGACACAAGACGCAGGGACCCAGGCGTCAGGCTGCCCGCCCCCTGGCTCCCTGCGCACCCATCACCCGGGCTCTTCTCCCCTAAAATCCCCTGGTACCCAGCCCCCTAGACCCGGCCCATTCTCCAGCCACAAAAGCAGCCTGTCAGGAGCATCACCGCAGCCTGTCTGCAGGGGTCACAACCTCTGCCCTGCCCGCCCCTCCCCTGACTTTAGGTGCCCCTCCCGCTGTCTCCCATCTGCCTGGAGGTCAAGGGGTCTGTCCACTGGGACCCCTGCCCCTCCCCCGTCTGAGCAGGGTGCCTGGGTCCCGGGAGGCGCAGTGTTCCGGGCGGGGAGTAGAAAACGGAGGCCAGGTGCTGGACCGTCTGGAATGTACTCCTGTCCTCGGAGCCCCACACTGGAGAAGCCCGAGGTGGGGAGGCCTGAGGGGGGCGGAAGGGCTGGTCCCTGCCCCTTAGTGGGGGTCGGTGGTCATGGCAACATCCCCTTCCCCACACAAAGCCCCCCTCAGCCTCCCGCGTGGATGGAGCCGGCAGCCCCATCGCTGGCTATCAGCCTCAGGGACTTGGCAACCGTCACTATGGCAACTCAGAGCCCAGCAACAGGGCCCAGTGAGAAAGGGAGGGGTCCGACACTGAGGCAGGGCTGTGTGTGTGAGGGGGCAAGGGAGCCGAGGGAGAACCCCCCCCCCCAACACACACATCTAGAGATACAGGCGGAGAGACGAGAGGAAAGAGAAGTGGGGCTAAATTGTGACAAACACCTCTGCCGGAGCAGCCCAGACACCAGAACACGCTGAGCGACAGGAAGACACCTGGGGACAGATGCACAGCTGGGGAGAGGCACAGCTCATTCGGCACAACAGCCCGAGGTACACCCCCTCGGGGCGTGGGCGTCCGTGGACTCTCCCCCTGCACGCACCCCCAGTAAGGACCTGCAGCCTGCCCCGCGCGGGGCCACTTGTGTATTTTCGAGCGATCTGAAAGCACTGGCGACTGCCACCCAGAACGACACATGCCGTCCTGTTCTCTTTCCGGGTACAAATACGCAAACGCACTCCCCGGTGATAACCACTGAAAGCCGAGAGGGAGGGGACCACATTCATTTTTGGTTTTTCATTCACTCCTCCACCCAGCATCACGAAAACTGCCTATTTTGTCCCAGGCACCAGTTCAGGCACTGAGACTACAGAGTAAATAAAGTCCCCGCTTTCACAGAGTCCACATGCCGGTGGGGAACAACGGAGTCGCATTTCGGGCAGTGACAAGTGTGGTATAAACAAAACAGTGACAGGGATAGAGAGTCCCGGGCAGACGCTTTAGGAGGTCAGGAAGGTCCCTCTGAAGAGGGGACATTTGAGTCAGACCTTGGGTGATGGGGGGGCGGGAGGCATGCACGGTGGGAAGGGCACACCCGGCGGAGGGAACAGCAAGTGCAAAGCATAGAGGTGACCTCTTGGCATGTTTGGGAACATCCACAATCCAGATGTGTCGTGTCCTTCCCCAGCCTCAGCCTGGCGGGGAGCCAGTCACTTAGGGTCTAGAATCCACACGAAGGAAGTTGGTCTCATTCGGGGTGCCTTTTTACCCCCGTTTTGTTTCTTGGGCGTCAGGTGTGTTTTTCTCCGTTTGATTTTAAGCTCTGGGAGGGTAAGGGTGATGTCTGAGCTTTTCCGGGGGCTTGGACACCCGTGGATTGTAAAGCTGCCCCCACCCCTGTTCCCAGAAGCAGAGACTGTCCTGGGGGCTACAGACAGAGGCTCACACTTCGCAGGATGTAAATTAGGTTGAGGGGTGTGTGTGTGTGTGTGTGTGTGTGTGTGTGTGTGTGTGTGTGTGTGGTTTATGTTGGGGCTTTTAAGGAAAGGGCTGCGGTGGGAATTTCTGATGGGGAATGGCTGACATCCTAAGTGGAATTTCAGTTAGAATGAAAAATGGAGCCTCCTAAGGGGCTATATGGGGAATCGCGAACATGGGGCGCCCCCCACCCCCACCCCAGGGGAAGTTTCAAGATCTGTAAGCAGCTGGGAGAAATGCTGCTGGCTGGAACAGGCTCAGAGAGTTGAGCGGGTGGGGGGGGAAGCCTGAAGATGAGCAAAAACTGGCCAGGGGGAGAGATCTCAGAAAGGTGGCAGGGAAGGTGGGTGTCCTGAAACGAATTTTTAGGGGACCGGGTCCCAGGGACCCCTGATTCCCATGGCGGATGGAAACTTCTGGGGTCCTGGTTCTCCCTCTTCCTCCCGGTTGCTCTCAGAAGCTCAGGCATCAGCTCCCCGCCGGCCCCGGTGCTGGTGGTGAGACTGGGCAGCCTCGGGGGCGGCAGCTGGTGGGTGAGTGGAGAGGAATCTGTGTGCTCAGCAAACAGCAGCCGCCTCGGTGCCCGGCCGCTGCCTCCTCCCTCATCAATCAGCCCCAGCCAAATGTGCTAGTATTCTCACCACCCCAAGGGGACTGGGGCTGGGCCAGGGTCCCCAGGGGAGTGAGATGGGGCTGGGTGGGGGATGGTGGGGGTGGCGCTTGGCTTCCCATCTCTTGGCCCCTGCCCTCCCCTCTTCTGGAAGCTCTCAGCCCTTCGCGTCCCGGAACGAGTCTCTCCTGGCCCCTAGCATTGTGAGGGCATCAGCTACAAATCACCTGTGGGGGTCTGCTGGGGGACAAGGGGGGGAAGAGGGATGAGTCAGGGCTGAAGAGAAATCCACTCTGGTTCTCACGGGACCGGCCCAGGGCACAGTCAGCAGGAGGCCGCTGGCAGACAGGCCCCGTCCCCCCAGGCTGGGCTCTCTATCCCTGACGGATGCTCTGGACGACAGGCCGAGACCCTGACTCCCTGAAAGCCCTCGCCTCCCACCGTCTCCCAGCGCCCCCGGCCCCCATTCCCTACTTCCCGCCAAGATCCAGAGGTCTGGCGCCCGGCTCACCCCAAATCCGCTGCTCCCCACGGGGGGCTGAGGCCTCTAGACCTTAGCCTGCGGCTCCCTCTCCCCATCCGCAGCCCTTGCTCCCCTCGGGGACCCAGGCGTCCTGCCCGCTGTCTTCACCATAACAACCATTCTTTTGGAGTTGCTGAACTTTAATATCATTTCATTAAGGCAGCTAGTTAGAGAAGGTTGGGGGCACAAAGAGCCCGGGGTGGGCAAAGGACGGCCAAGGTAGGGGGGAAGCAAGGGAAGAGTCCCCCTCTCTCCGTGGAGATGGCTCTGAGACATCAAATATTGACAGTGAGAGAACAGAACTTATTAAATCCGGGACGGGGGTGTGTGTAGCTGTGGGAACGGCCCGGCCGGATGCCTGGGTTCTGAGGTTAATGACGGTCTGGGAGGAGGGGAAGGCCTGGCTGAGGCTGGGGGACGCGCCGAGAGTTGGGGTCTTGGGGGCACAACTCTCCGGTCCCTTTCCTTTGGGAGGCACTGACGCTTGGTACCCTGGCCACGTGCCTCAACTGTCCCCTCCGTACCCCCGGGGACGAGGCCCCCATCACAGCTGTGGTTGGCTCCCCTTCATCCCTCTCCCCTACCTCCACCTCTGTTGATGAACCTCGGCAGCGTTTAATCGGATTGAGCAGTAATTAGCAAAGCGAGATGTTTGATTACCTATTTAGCATAATGGAGGGGGCTGGGATCCCTAGGTACAGCCAAGGTTGGGGAGGGAGTCAGAAAAAAATGGGGGCTCTACGCTGTGTTCCTTTCCCGGGGGAGCCATGAGCCCTGACTGTAGCACTCCCCACCCCACGCCTCCCCACAAATCTTCACTCCTTTGGGATTTTTCCTTGGGGGATCTGGCCAATCACGTCAGTTACCTCTCTCTGCCACCCGCTGCCTCTTTGGTTAGGGGGATGGATCACCCACTTAGCCCTGTGCTGTGCTGGGGGTGTGGCAGGACCCCTCACAACTTCGATCCTTGCCTTCAGCAATAGGACTCGGGCCTGGGCACCGGGGCCGGCACAGCCCAGGAAGCTACCTGGAGGATAGCAGATGCGGGGAGTGCCCAGGCCACCGGCTATCAGAGCGGGAGATTAGGGTAGGTGGGATGGCAAGCTCAGGCTTGGGTGTGGATTAACCCAAGGGCCCTTCAGGACTACCCGAGACGGCCTTGGAGCTGCGGACTGGCAGAATGAGACCTGTCCGGTGTGAATGGCAACCAGAGGGGGGAACTGAGGTCCCAGCTTCGCCCCCCCCCCCTCATCCGGCAAAGAAAATGTCATCAATTTAGCTCCTCATGGAAATGTAATCAGTGGGCTCGCTGCGGGCTTTGTCTTAATTAGGCACTATTGATGGAAGCAGGGAGGGTGCCTCCCCCTCCCTCTGCTTCAGACTCCCCCCCCCCCATCTCTGAGGCCTCCCTCCAGCTTCTGGCGCCGCAGGTAGGGCCCGGGCTTGCAGGCGCCCCCTGCGCCGCCCCGGCCCGCAGCGCCCCCTAGCACCAGCTGAGGTCTGCCCCCACCCAGGGCACACCCCTCTTCTCTGGCTTCCCCAGGACTCAGCCTTTGTTCTCACGGAAAGCCGAGCCCCTCCCCGGCCCGGTCACCTTCCCCAGGGAGTCCCCGCCTCCCGTTCCCCCCAAAACGGGCGACGCTTCCCAGAGCCGATCCTCAGGTCCCGGAGACTCCAGTTCCGTTCTTCCCGGCCCTCCCCCGCCCCGCGCCGCCAGGCGCTCCGAGACCCCAGTCCGAGCTCAGCCGAGGGAAACCAGCGGGAGGGCAGGGGTGCTCCAGCCCCGGTTTTTCCCCCGGACCCAGCTGCAGCCACGGCTGCCTCGAAATCCTGGAGCGCCTTCTAGAGCGTCCACGAGCCCCGCAGGCGGGACGCCGGGCGCCACCTGCTGGACGCGCTCGGGAGCGCGCCCGCAGAGCCGGGCGCGGGGTCGGCCGCGGGGGCTCCCCCGGCGCTTTCGCCGCCCCGCGGGACGGCGGCTCACGGCCTCAGCCTCAACCCTCCCAGCCCGTCCTCGGGCCGGACCCCGCCGCCCCCGGCCTGCGGGCCTCGGTGGCTCTCGTCGGCCCTCTGGCCCGCGGTCCCCCCGGGGCGCACGCGGGCCGAAGAGGGCGGCCGGGCGGCGGAGCGGGGCTGCCCTGCGCCTGCGCCGGGGAGGCCGGGCTCGCGGGCACGCGCCCGGCCGCTCGCCCCTCTCCGCCCGCCCCTCTCCGCCCGCGGTTGCCTTGGCGACGCGTGCAGGCGCAGGCGGGAGCGGGCCTCGCGGGGCAACTTCCCAGTCCGAGCGGCCGGCCGGTCGGCCTAGGGAAGACGGGGTCGGCGTAGTGAGGTGTGTGTCGGGGGCGGAGGGGAGGAGGGGACACGGGGGAAGCTTCGAGGAGAAGGGGCAGCTGTGGGGGAGGGGAGGGCGGCCATGTCGGGGGAGAAGGGGCAGTGGGGTGAGGAAAAGGGGCAGGCGGGGAGTGGAGAGAGGGCAGTTGTGGGGGAGGGGAGGGGGCAGTTGTGGAGGGGGAGTAATGGGGGAGGGGAGGGGCAGTTGAGGGGGAGGGCAGTTGTGGAGGCAGAGGGTGGGGAGAGGTAGTTGTGGAGGGGGCAGTAATGGGGGAGGGGAGGGGCAGTTGTGGAAGCAGAGGGTGGGGAGGGGCAGTTGTGCAGGGGGAGTAATGGGGAAGCGGAGGGGCAGTTGGGGAGGGGGCAGTAATGGGGGAGGGGAGGGGCAGTTGTGGGGGCAGAGGACGGGAGGGGAGAAGGGGCGGCTGGGGTTGAGACTGAGCAGCGGGGGCAGTTGTGACTGCGGGGTGAGGACGCCCCTGCAAGGGCAGGTTTGCAGATAGGCAACCAGTTTGAGGACCAGGCCGGTGCCCTGGTCCCCTGTGTCCTTCCGGAGTGAAGGCGCGGCGCGAGTCCCCAGGCTGCCGCAGCGGTCCCTCCTGGGGCCTGGCCTGGCGGATCTGGGGGCGAGCCCCTGGGGAGGGTGCTCCCAGCCAGGCCGCGGGCTCCAGCAGCTGAGGCTTCTCTGGAGACCCCTGGCGCGGCTGCAGGTGGTTTTATCGACGCGGCGGCCTAATAGAACGCTGCTCCTTGGAGCAAAGTAACGCATCCTTCCTGTCTGAAACTCATAACCGGTGATCAATGCCTGTGGCAGCCTGTGGGGACGAGGGAGGAGAGCCACAGGTGGCTGTCGGGCTGGAGCCAATCACACGGTGCCCCTGGACTGCTGCAAGCACGAGCACACCTAGCAGCTCCTGCTTCCCCGCCCCCCTCCCCCCTGGCCCTTTCCTTCTCCACCTCCCCAACCCCATCTGAAATTGCGCGTTGGGTGACTTTTCTCCTTCCCAGTCTGTTCTCAGGGCCTTAGGGACTCAAATGACATTGGGCTTCGTTGTGTAACCTTGAGTAACAGGGTTACTCAGCCAACTATGCTAAGAGACCTTTCCGGTACCACAAAACAGTGAACAAGGTTCCTACCCCCCAGCAATTAAAATCTAAAGAGATATGTTGCAAATACTGCTTCTCTTTTTCTTTAACTTTATATATTTTAAGAGAGAGAGCGTGAGCAAGGGAGCGGCAGAGAGAGAGAGAGGGAGACAGAGAATCTCAAGCAGGCTCCACGCTGTTAGCACAAAGTCCCACGTGGGGCTTGAACTCACGAACCATGAGATCATGACCTGAGTTGGACGCTTAACCCACTGACCCACCCAGGTGTCCCGCAAATACTGTGTTTCTTTGCTTAAGGGGGTGGCACGTTTTAGCGTGGGTAGGATGAGAATTTTCCCTTTACAGGGGATAACGTGGGAAGAAAGGAGGTACGTAGGAAAACCATCTTGGCTTGCTCCAGTGACTTGGTACCATGACAAGGGACGGGGAAGTTGGGGACAGCCCCCCTCGGCCTTCTCCCGACCCAAGGCCCTGAGGGGTAACGTGGCTGAGGATGTGTGTGACCACGCCTGGGCTACCTTGGTCTTTTCTTACGTTCTCACACTTCTGGGCAGAGAGAGAAGGTTCCTAAATCTAAGGAAAGGAGTGAGGCCTAGGGGCTGATGGAGCAGGGTGGCGGCACCCCCAGATTCAAGTATGATTTTGGGAGGGGGTCTGAGTTTGTGAATTCCAAAGGGACTTCATGTACCGGGGGTGGGGGGGTCTGAGGAGGTGGGTCCAGGCTGCCCGTGTGTCCACAGGTGTCGCCCCCACCATGGCCAGCAGAGCGGAGAGGAAGCAGAGATTGAGTGCCCAGTTGAACGTTGGCCGCGGTGCCCGCCGGAGGGCCGCCCAGGCTGACGCCGCCTCGAGGCCTGACTCTCCGACTCCCGAGCTGGATCCCGAGCCCGAGCCCGAGCCCCTCGAGGAGGAGTTTGGTGGGTACTTGCCCCGGAAGAGCTTGAAGGCAGAATGTTTCATTTTAAAGCGGGTCTGAGGGCTGCGGGGGGTCGAGCAGAAGGTCAGGCCTGATGCTGGGCCCCTTTCTCTGGGGTGTCCTCACACTACTCCCCCCCCCCCCCCCACCCAGTGGACCTGGAGCTCACTAGCCAGTCCTTTCTCGTGGCCTCTTCCCCCAGGTGGCTCGGAACACACCAAAGACGGTTTGATCTCCTCCCTTTTCCCATCTTCACCCTGGGTGGCAAAACAAATCATGTTTTTCTTCCATTAAGCCCATCACCATGGAGACTCAGCCTGAGCAGCCGCTTTCTCCCATCTGTTTAAGGCCCTTGTGTCTCTGCCTTCATTTTGGCAGAGCCTTGGTAGACTCAGGAGGGTCAGGTTCAGGGCCACACAACACAAAAAGAAGCCTGGTGTCTAGATTGAGGGAGCAGAGTTCAAAGGGGCCACCTCCTGTGGCTTTGACCTCAGGGACCCCTCTCCTGTGCGTTGGGAGGTTTCCTGTAACTGTCACTGTCACTGGGCCATGCCTTCGAGCTCTGGTCGCAGTGGGTAGCGCTGTGAACTAAGTATAGACCCCCCTACATTTCCCCACGGGGCTTCTTTATTCCGCAAGCAGCCTGTCAGGAGGGACAGAAATAGAAAACCCCCCTTTCATGCCAGCAGTGGTTAAGCACAGGCGTGGGAGAGAGGTCCAGGGTACGCGGGGTACCCAGCATCCAGAGGTTAGAAACACGCAGAATGTTTTGTTCTGAGTTCTCCTGGAAGCAGTAAAAATGGAACTGGGCCCTGGAGGCTGGGCACCTGGACTGGGGGAGAGGGGGCAGGAGGTGTTCGACTCGGAGCCTCCCCCAGTGTGAGGAGGGAAGGAGGTGCTCAGCGAAGGCCTTGGCCATCCAATCCAGAGAATCTAGGACTCCTTTAGCTCTAAGCCTTTTTGTCGCTGGACAGGGAGCTTTCCAGATGGCCCAGCAGCGGTTCAGAGGACCTGGGGACCTCCACAGCATCCCTGACACCCACCTGTACTCTCTGGAGCTGGGGGGGGTGGAGGGGTTAGGTCTGTCCCGCTGGAGAGGGCTGGGCCCGCCTCGGGTCGGAATGTTTGCGTCCCCTCCCTTCCCCCATTCATATGTTGAGATCCTAATGCGACGAGGTGTTAGTGGGTGGGGCCTTTGGGAGGAGCGCCCATCAGATCCGGAGGGTGGGACCATCATGGATGGTCCGGAGAGATCTCTTGCCCAAGTCCTCCCTGTGAGGACGCGGCGAGAGGTCTGCGACCCAGAGGAAGGCTCTCGGTGACCGGGCTGCATCCTGGTCCAGGACTGCAGCTTCCAGAAATGTGAGAGAGGTTTCTGCTGTTTACAGGCCCCCCAGTCTGTGGTGTTTTGTTAGCGCAGGGACAAAGGGGGGCCTGAAACCCGGGGTGAAGGGGGTAAGGGGGCAAACACCCCTCGGGGGTCTGTACTGAGCCTCTGCTTCCTTAAGCTTTCTCAGTTCCCATAAAGAAACCGAGGACAGGTTTATAAACCCATCTCCGCAATTTATTTATTGGTTTGTTCATTTGTTTATTTTGGGAGAGTGCTTGTGTGTGTGTGTGTGTGTGTGTGTGTGTGTGCGCGCGCGCGCGCGCGCGCACGCGCAACCAAGGAAGGGGCAGGGAGAGAAGGAGAGAGGGAATGAATCCCAAGCTGAGCTTGGAGCCTGACCTGGTACTCGATCCCAGGACCATGAGATTGTGATCTGAGCTGAAATCAAGAGTTGGGTGCTTAACCCACTGAGCCACCCAGGTGCCCCCAAGTTTGTAATTGTATTTATTTATTTATTTGATTTTTTTTATGCTTTAAATATTTTTTGTTAATGTTTATTTTTGAGAGAAAGAGAGAGAGAGTGTGAGCTGGGGAGGGGCAGAGAGAGAGGAAGACACAGAATCCGAAGCAGCTCCAGGGTCTGAGCTGTCAGCGCAGAGCCCGATGCAGGCCTCAAACTCATGAACTGTGAGATCATGACCTGAGCTGAAGTTGGACGCTTAACCTACTGAACCACCATTTTTTAATGTTTTATTATTTTTTTTTTTTATAGAAAGAGAGCGCTAGTGGGGGAGGACAGAGAGAGACAGAGGCAGAATCCGAAGCAGGCTCCAAGCTCTCAGCTCTCAGCTCAGAGCCCGACGCAGGGCTTGAACTCATAAGCCATGAGATCATGACCTGAGCCAAAGTTGGATGCTTAACCAACTGAGCCACCCATTCATCCCTTTAAAGCACAATTCAGTGATTTTGGGTATATTCACAAAACTCCTTCAACATCACCACTATCTAATTTTGGAGCATTTGCATGCTGCTCGCCACCCCCAGAGGAAGCTACTTCGAGCACCTTGACAAATTGGCATCAGATGACCAATTTCTTTACTTCTAATTGCATCAGACCCTAGTGTTTTATTTTTAATTAAAAAAATTTTTTTGAAGTTTATTTATTTTGAGAGAAAGAGCGGGGAGGGCAGAAAGAGAGGGAGAGAGAATCCCAAGCAGACTCTGCAGCGTCAGTGCAGAACCCAATTCAGGGCTCTAACTCACAGACTGTGACACCTGAGCCGAGACCAAGAGTCGTATGCTTAACCAGCGGAGCCACCCAGGCGCCCCAAGACCCTAGTTTTTTAGCAGCCACTCCCATTCCCCTTGCCCCACAGATCCTGATAACCGCTAATCCACTTTCTCTCTGTATGGATTTGCCTGCTTTCGACATTTCACGTAAATGTATTCATATAGTATGTGGTCTTTTGTGACTGGCTTCTTTCACCCGACCTCATTTCTGAGGTTTGTCTGTGGTGTGGCATTATGGCTGACCTCCATTCCCTGTTTTCTTTTAATGTTTATTTATTTATTTTTGAGACAGAGAGAGAGAGCGCGAGCGCGAGAGAGCACACTTGTGTGAGCGGGGGAGGGGCAGAGAGGGAGAGAGAGACAATCCCAAGCAGGCTCCGTGCTGTAAGCGCAGAGCCTGACGCGGGGCTTGATCTCATGAACATGAGCTCATGACCTGAGCCAAGAGCACGAGTCGGACAGACGCTCAACAGACTGAGCCACCCAGGCGCCCCAGCTCCGATCCTTCTTTATCGCTGAACGATATTCCACCGTAGTTTTGTTTATCCGGCCACTCTTTGTTTCCGGTCAACTTGAGTCGTTCCCACCTTTTGGCTGTTGCGGGTAGCGCTGCTGCGAGCATGGCCGTGCGAGGGTCCGTTCCGGGTCCCTGCTTCCAGTTCTCCTGGGGACACACCTGGGGGTGGGGCTCCTGGGCCCTAAGGTGACGCTGTGTTTGATGAACGCTTTCGTTTCTGAATTTTTATTCTTCCCAGAGCCAGTGTCAGAGGAGCCCAAGGCAGAGAGAGAAGAACTACCGGAGCCCGAGGCGGATGTGGTAAGTCAGGGGTGTCCCGGGGACCAGTCTCCCTCCCCAGGAACTAGTCAGTCAGAGGCCTAGCTGCAAAATGGCGGCCGAGGAGGCTTCTTCCGTGTGTTGCTTGCTTCCGCTCACTCTCCGCCGGGAGCCTGCTTGCCACAGATGCAGCTCGCTGAGTGCTGGGCGAAGCTCTCCGTGCCCCCCACCCCTCCAGGAGAGGAGGGCTTCGCACCAGGGTCAGGGCTCTGCGCCTTCCCTTCTTGTCTCTCCACCTTTTTTCATTTATTTTTAAAATTTTTATTTATTTTTTTTAGTATTTATTCATTGAGAGAGAGACAGAGGGTAAGTGGGGGAGGATCAGAGAGAGAGAGACAGACAGACAGACAGAGCGGGAGCAGAGGAGGGTCAGAGAGAGAGGGAGACACAGAATCCGAAACAGGCTCCAGGCTCTGAGCTGTCAGCACAGAGCCCGACGCGGGGCCTGAACCCACGGACCGTGAGATCATGCCCTGAGCCGAAGTTGGACTGACCCACCCGGGCGCCTCTGCCAGTTGCTGTTTTTAAAGTTTATTTATTTTGGGGCGCCTGGCTGGCTTAGTCGGTTAAGCGTCCGACTTTCGCTTAGGTCATGATCTCGCGGTTCGTGGGTTCGAGCCCCGCGTCGGGCTCTGTGCTGACTGCCAGCTCAGAGCCTAGAGCCTGTTTCAGAGTCTGTGACTCCGTCTCTCTCTGACCCTCCCCTCCTCACGCTGTCTCTCTCTTCTCTCTCCTAGAAATAAAAATTAAAAAAAAAATTAAAAAAAAATAAAGTTTATTTATTTAGAGAGAGAGACAGACAGAGAATGCATGCGCAGGAGGGGCAGAGAAAGAGGGAGAGACAGAGACAGGGTGGAGCCCACTCGGGGCTCGAACCCACGAACCGTAAGACGATGAGCTGGGCCGGCTGAGCTGCGCGGGCGCCTTGACGCCCTGTTTCCGTCGGTGTCCCGGGCAGGCTGCACCGTCGTCCTTATCCAGCGCGTCGTCTTGCTGCCCCGTTGCTGCCTTTGGCGCACGTTCGACAGGGTCCCATGATTTCGTTTCACCCCGCGGTCGAGCAGGGCCGGGCGAGGCGTCTCGGGAGGTCAAGGCCCGCGGCCCCTCTGGGCTCTGCTCTAGCTTCACGCATAGACGCAAGGGAGTCTCCCTGTCCGGGTTCTCCAGCGGCTTCCAGCCTGTCGCCCCGCGCACCCGCAGCCTTCCCTCCACCACCCCGGGCCGTCAGGCGTCTCTCCTCACACCCGTGGCCCCGCGTGCGCTTGCGAAAGGGGGAAGGGACCCCTCCTGACAACTGTACCCGCCTCGGCCCTCCGCCCCCCTTCCGTAGAAGCCCCTTTTCCTGTCCCGGGCCATGCTGACGGGCCTGGCGGCCGCTGAATGGACAGCAGAGCACGACGCCGCCCTGGAGCGCTTCGCCCAGGACCCTTCGGAGCCCGTCCTCACCATCTTCGTGGACCCCTGCGCGGGGCTGAAGCTGGACCTGGGCATGCCCGTGCAGGTGGGTGCTGGCTCTCCCGGGCCCCGAGGCCTTCTGCCAGGGCGCCGAGGGTTCGCGTCCCCCCCCACCCAGGCTCACCTCCGGTGCCCAAGGTGTGCCGGGCCTCGCGGCGTCCGCTCGGCAGCAGGACACAGAGGCGCGAGGCAGGGTTTGGCGTGGTCAGATCTCGTGGTCTGGTGTTGAAGACAGACGTATGAAGCGTATTCACGGTACGTTAGGGCCGGGCTTCCTAGGAACATTATGGGGACGGTATAGCCAGCGGGACGCCGGCAAGGCCGGTGACAGAGGTGACATCTGAGTGGAGAAGAAGGTAAGTAGGGTCATCGAGTCTGGTGGAGCTGTGCCAGCTGCAAAGAAAAGAGCTGTAGGAGGCGATCCTGGGAAGGCGGCCGGGGTCAGCTCGCGGGGGCTCGTGTGCGGTGCTGGAGGGACCGTGCAGCCTTCACGGGTTAGAGAGAGAGCACCCTCAGTGCTGTGGAGGACACGGCGGCGAAGGGTGAGGCCCGGGAAGGGAGACGGTTAAAAGACGGCGGAGGGTGGAACGTCTGCGGGGGAATCTGGGCAGTGGGTGTGTCGGTCATTGTCGTAAACCTCTTGTACGTCTTCTGTATGTTTGACGTCTTTGAAATAAAGCTTTGGAAAAGAGAAAGGCCCTTGCTTTGCTTTTATTGGCCGTGCACATACAACACGGTAATGATAATGAAGATGAACGTGACCCTGTGCGCTGACAAAGTTTGGGAAATGTTCCAGATCAAACAAAAACCAAAACAGCCTGCGGTTTTTTCCTGTACAGCAGCGACAGGCAGCTATAAAATATCGTGGAAAATAAAAAAGATCTCTCTCGCAAAAAGAAGAAAAGTTTGCAAGAAACGTGTAGGATTTATAGGAAAGAAAGCAAGTTTGTTGCTGGCCATGAAAGAAGATTTGATTGAATAACCATATCTGTATTATAAACATCACTGCATCTAAAAAAAAAAAAAAAAATTTGATGCAACTCCATCACAGTGCCAAAGCCCCTAAATCCCTTATGTAAAGATTTAAAAATATATCCAGTCGGGGCGCCTGGGCGACTTGGTCAGTTAAGCTTCCAACTTCAGCTCAGGTCACGATCTCGTGGTTCATGGGTTCTTGTCCCGCGTTGGTCTCTGTGCTGACAGCTCAGAGCTTGGAGCCTGCTTTGGATTCTGTGTCTCCCTCTCTCTGCCCCTCTCCTGCTCACGCTCTGTCTCTCTCTCAAAAATAAATAAACACTAGCGCATATATATACATCCAGAAATGTGCATGAAAATTCATGAAGAAGGGAAGTAACGAAGGAGAGCTGCGAATACAAAAATGTGTAGTAATTAGCACAGAGCTGTACTGGGGCAAGAACATACACTGATATGCAGCATTAAAGACACCAAGTACGGATGCATATATGTAAGCATTTTCTCTAAAAATTGCATTTAAAATCTGTGGGAAAGAACAGATCATTTGGTGAACAGAATTGGGAAGTATGTAAAACAAAGTTTTTCATTAAAAATCTAATCAGCTGTAGGGGAGGGGGAAACGGGCAGATGTTGGTCAGAAAGCACAAAGTTTCTGCCATCAAAAGCAAAGCCCACAAAGCAAAAATACACACGTGGAACTACATCAAATCCAAAAGCTTCTGCACTGCAAAGTTTCTTCCATCAACAAAATGAAAAGGCAAACCTAAGGGCTGGGAGAAAACATGTGCACATCATATATCTGATAAGAGATTAATATCCAAACTATATAAAGAGCTATAACTCAAGAGCAAAAAGAACAAACTGCCAGAGGGATCGAAGAGACATTGTTCCAAAGACCTACAAATGGCCAACAGGTATTTGAAAAGGTGCCTTCATATCCCTAATGGGAGAAATGCATATGGAAATCGCAGCGACGTCTCAGATATTACCTCATACCTGCCAGAATGGCCATCATCAAATAGACTCTTAAGACATAACAAATGTTGACAAAGACGTGCCGAAGGGGAAACCCTCTTGCGCTGTTGGGAATGTAAGTTGGTGCAGCCCCTCTGGGAAATGGTACGGACGTTCCTCAAAAAATTAAAAATAGAAGTATAATCTGGCAATCCAGTTCTGGGTGTCCATCCAAGGAAATGAAATCACAATCTCAAGATATCAGTACGCCATGTTCATTGCAGCATTATTTACAAAGGCCAAGCCATGGGAGCAGCCTCGGTGTCCACCGATGGATGAATGGATGAGGAAACTTCCATAGAAACACGATGGAATATCATTCTGCAGTAAGACAAAAAAGAATCCCGGGGCGGCCTTGCGGGCTCGGTTGGTTAAGTGGGGGACTCTTGATTTCAGCTCAGGTCATGATCTCATGGTTCGTGAAACAGCCCCACATTGGGTTCCACACTGACAGTGCATGGAGATTGCCTCTGATTCTCATTCTTTCTCTCTCTTTCTCTCTGCCACTCCTCCTCTCACGCCTGCTTTCTCTCAAAATAAATAAATAAACCTTTAAAAAGTTGAAAGAAAGAAAGAAAGAAAGAAAAAAATCTTGCCATTTGCAGTAACCTGGATGGAACTTGAGGGCATTATGCGAAATAAGGCAGAGAAAGATAAATACTGTATGAGCTCACTCATATGTGGAATCTGAGGGGGGAACCCCAAACTCATTGAGACAGAACAGATTGGTGATTGCTAGAGTGAGGGGGTGGGAGGTGGGGAAAACGGTTGAAGGTGGTCAAAAGGTACAAACCTCCAGTTTTAAGATAAATAAGTTCTGGCAAAATAATGTACTACGTCGTGACTATAGTTAGCAACATTGTGTATTCAAAAGTTGCTAAGGGAGTAGATCTTAAAAGTTCTCAAGACAAGGTGGAAGACATTGTTAACTGTGTGAGGTGATGGATATTAGCTAAACTTAGTGCGGTAATCACTTTCCATATATCAAATCATGTTGTACGTGTTAAACAGTGTGTAGGTCCTTTATATCTCAATAAAACTGGAGGGAAGAGGGTTTGGTTTCATCTATGCAAGGTGAATGGTTTTGGAGATCTATTAGACGGCATGGTAACCATAGTTACCACGTGTGGTACACCTGCAATTTGCTAAGAGGGTGCATTTTAAGTGTTCTCGCCACACACACACACACACACACACACGCACGCACATGAGAAAAAAAAGAAAAAATGGTACCTAGCGAGATAATGGGTATATTAATTCGATTGCGGCGATCATTTCACAACACATACATATAGCAAAGCATCAGGTGTACGCCCTAAATATACACCTTTTTATTTGTCATTATGCCTCAATGAAGAGGAGACCATTTATTTGGTATGCTGAAATACGTTCTAGATAAGACTACAGACTTAGTTGTATGCTTCTGGGTTAAGATGGCCAACTGAACTTCCTTAAAGAATTAATACTCTTGGGGCGCCTGGGTGGCTTAGTCGGTTAAGCATCTGACTTTGGCTCAGGTCACAATCTCACAGTTTGTGAGTCTGAGCCCCGTGTCGGGCTCTGTGCTGACAGCTCAGAGCCTGGAGCCTGCTTCCGATTCTGTGTCTCCCTCTCTCTCTGCTCTTCCCCTGCTCGTGCTCTGTCTCTCCCTCCTTCAAAGATAGTAAACATTAAATTTTTAACAATTATTACTTTTGACAAAAAGAGCAAAAAGTAAAACCAGGAAAAAAACCCCCACCCAAGTGCAAAGAAGGAAGAAGCATCATCTAATCTAAGAAACTTTATAAGGTTGGGAACCAATGAGAGGTCTAGGCACGAAGTTACGGAAACTGTTCTTCCCAGAGGAATGCCGGGCCCCCGGCCAGATGGGACCCTCAGCTCATGTAACAGAATCTGGAAAGGAAGAAATTAGCCTCAGCCACCCACCGCTCCCCTCCTGCAATTCTCTCAGGCTGCGAAGAGGGAATAAAATGTAAAATTCCCACTCCATTCCCTTCCCCTTGGAGGCGGCAAAGTAATGGGGCCTCCCAGCAGGATATCAAGGAGTCGCCCACAGTCTGTCGGAGCAGAAAGGACGGGAAGCTGCCCACGCAGGTAGAAAGTGGAAAGAAATTGCGTGGCAACCTCCGGCGTATTCCTCCAGGGGGAACAGACACAGAGGAAACGAGCTGTGCAGAAGGGAATTCCTCACAACACCCTCGTGTTCTAGTACAACCTAACGAGAGCAGGCATTCGAGTTTTAAAAAGCTGGGAGCTGAAATGATGGAGCATGAGAGCGATAAAAGGGAGGCCGAAGATTTTAGGAAATGAACACAGCAGCCTGTTACATTATCTTCTTTTAACATTTATTTATTATTTTGAGAGACAGAGCATGATTGGGGGAGGGACAGAGAGAGAGGGAGACACAGAATCCGAAGCAGGTTCCAGGTTCCAGGCTCCAGGCTGTCAGCACAGAGCCTGACGCGGGGCTCGAACTCACAAACCGCAAGATCACAGAATTTGTTACACAGCGTTTAAGGCCAACACACATCGTAGGTAAGCCACTGAGCTCCAAGGAACTTAATTCTTTGGGAACTTTGCCTGCCGAGAAGGTAGCAGTATTGACGTCCCCACCAAGAAGATTTAACCTGCATCTAATAATGAGGAAACAATCAGACAAATCCAAGTTAAGGGACATTTTGGAAAACGACTGGCCTGGACTGTTAGAAAGATCAATGCCGTGGAAGAAAGAAAAAGACTGGGGGGCCCTCAGATGGCTCAGTCGGTTAGGGGTCTGACTTTGGCTCAGGTCGTGGTCTCGTGGTTCAGGAGGCTGAGCCCCACACTGGGCTCTGTGCTGGTGGCGCGGAGCCTGCCTGGTTCTCTCTCCCTCTCTCTCTCTCGCTCGCTCGCTCGCTCGCTCGCTCCCCTTTCCCGACTTGTGCTCACAGACCAGACAACCGTGTGGAATTGAAGGACACTGAGGAGACATGGCTGTGTGTGATCCCGTATTGGATCCTGGGTGGCAAAGAACAGCTGTACGTGACATTATCTGGATCACTGGGGAAAACTGAATGTGGCTTGTGTGTTATATCAAGTATTATATGAAGTTTAGTTTTCTGAGTGATCATTATGAGGTTGCACACGTTGGAGAATACCCTTCCTCGGAGCTAAATGCTAAAATATTTAAGGCTGCCGTAGCCTGATGCCTAGGGCTAATCTCAGGTGGCTCAGCGGCGAGGGGAGGGCCAGAGAGTGCCCACAAGCACAATCAGGACAAAATGTTAACAATGAATGAATCCAGATGAAGGGTACGCTGTTCATTGCACTTTTCTTGTGATTTCTCTATGGGTCGGAATTATTTAAAAAACAAAAATTTAGGGAAAAAATGGCTTAGCTCTTGCCAACAAAACTAACAGTCTGCCATGAGGAAAAATCAGGCTGGTTGCCGCCTTCTCTGGTCACCAGGAAGAACAGGCTCAGAGTTCTCCCTGAAGGACAGTGCACCCCAAGTCTATTATTCCCAGCCGAGATGGCCAAATACAATGGCAACGAATAGGTAGTCATTTTCAATCTTGGAAGAACCCAACTTTATTTTTTATTTTTTTTTTTTTAAATTTTTTTAATGTTTTTTATTTATTTTTAGGAGAGAGAGAGAGAGACAGCGTGAGCAGGGGAGGGTCAGAGAGAGAGGGAGTCACAGGCTGAAACAGGCTCCAGGCTCTGAGCTGGCAGTCAGCACAGAGCCCGACGCGGGGCTCGAACCCATGAACCGCGAGATCATGACCTAAGCGAAAGTCGGACGCTCAACCGACTAAGCCACCCAGGCGCCCCGGAAGAACCCAACTTTAAAAACAAACAAACAAATAACGTCCTCAGTGGAAATTTATGCCATTAAGAAATGAAGCAAATAGGGGCTCCTGGCCGGCTTGCTCAGTGGAACGTGCGACTCCTGCTTGATCATGGGTTTGAGCCCCACGTTGGGTATAGAGGTTACTTAAACATAACAATCTTTAGAAAAGAAAAAAGAAAATGAACCAAATAAAGAACTCAGGAATAGACAGTCTAGGAACTTTCAATTCATTTAAATAAAAACTAATACCCAGGGGCGCCTGGGTGGCTCAGTCGGTTAAGCGTCCAACTCTTGATATTGACAGCGACCCAGGTGCCCCAAAAGATTTTATTTCTTTGTTTATTTAATGTTTATTTATTTTGAAGGGGCGGGGGGGGGAGGGGCAGACAAAGAGAGGGAGAGTGAGAATCCCAAGCAGGTTCATCACTGTCAGCGCAGAGCCCAACGCGGGGCTCAGTCCCATGAACCTTGAGATCATGACCTGAGCCAAAATCAAGAGCTGGACGCTTAACTGACTGAGCCCCCCAGGCCCCTCAAAAATATTTTTAAGTGATGTCTATACCCCATGTGGGGCTCAAACTCACCACCCCAGGTCCAAGGGTCACATGCTCTATTGACTGAACCAGTCAGGGGCTCCTCCCCCTCCTTAGAAAGAGTTTTTATTTTAATCATCCTGTGCATGTTCGGCATCACAAGTGCTCTCCTTAACTCCTGTTACCTGTTACACCCATCTTCCCACCCACCTCCCTTCTGGAAAGTATCAGTTTCTTCCCTATAGGTTAGAGTCTGTTTCTTTTCTTTTTTTAAGTTTACTTATTTTAGTACTTTTTAAAAAAAATTTTAATGTTTTATTTATTTCTGAGAGAGAGAGAGACACAGTGTGAGCAGGGGAGGGGCAGAGAGAGGGAGACACAGAATTTGAAGCAGGCTCCAGGCTCTGAGCTGTCAGCACAGAGCCTGACGCGGGGCTCAAACCCACGAACCATGAGATCATGACCTGAGCCGAAGTCAGACGCTTAACTGACTGAGCCACCCAGGCGCCCCTGTTTTAGTACTTTCTACGTCCAGCATGGGGCTCGAACTCCCAACCCCGAGATCAAGAGTTACATGTACTCTCACTCATACACACCACACAACACACAGAGACATCCCGCACGTGTCCTAGAATCACACCAGTGTTTACCACACACTCACTAATCTTAACACACGGACACCTGTAATAGAGCACACAAAAGCCAACTGAGTCAGCCAGACACCCCAGGGGTCTGTTTCTCAGTTTGTCTCTCTTTCTCTTCCCCACTTCGCTTGTTTTGTTTCTCACATACTACACATGAAATCATATGGTATCACTTATGTAGATCATTTTAAGAAAAATAATCGTGTTAAGCTTTAAAAAAAAAAATAGACTCAAAATACCAAACTGAAATTCTGGGCTTTGGGAAGATGGATGATTATTAATTTCTTCTTTATGCTTTATTTTCATTTTTTGGAATTAACTAAATTATAAAGAGCAGCGCAACACACTCACCCATGAAAGGGGAATCTGATCTTAGGGACGGATGGCCCTTCTGAGCACGTAGAAGTCAAAAACTTTACCTTTGAAAAGTTTTAACTACGCGACGCCTGTACACTTCTGGATGTGACAACAACAGCAGCCACACAAACTGACCAGTAACAAAACAGGGGTAAATGGAAAATTCGGGGGAGACGTTTGTGCAACTGAAATGGAAAACCCAGGTCAATTGCCTCTTATTTCCATTCCTTCTCCTTCCCACTTTCCATATACCGAAAGGTGCCTCCTTCATCTATCCCTTTCATTCTATCCATGCGTCCAACATTTATTGAGCATCTAATATGTCCCAGTCAACTGTAGTGGGTTCTAGAGTGAAGTTGGACAGAACACGCAGTCCCTGCCAACCTTCAAGTCATGCTCTCTGCACTCCCTCCCCATGGTTCTGGGTATGGGCTCTGTTATGTCCCCTGAAAGAAACAGGAAGCGCCCATGACACTTGCATTTGGAGATGAATCAGGATGCACTAAGGGCATGTGACCGAGAACTCAGCCACGCCGTCATGACTGATTCTGTTGGGCGCCACGCTGGGGACTGGAGGCCGACCTCTGATCTACTGTCTTTCATGCAGACGCAGAACCAGATCGTCTACTTCATTCGCCAGGCGCCGGTTCCCATCACCCCAGAGAACTTTGAGGCCACCGTGCAGTTTGGGACAGTGCGTGGCTCCTACATCCCGGCCCTGCTTCGGCTGCTCAGTGGTGTCTTTGCCCCTCAGATCTTCACAAACACAACGTGGCCTGAAAGCATTCGCAATCATTTCGCTTCTCATCTGCACAGATTCTTGGCCTGCCTGACAGGTGAGCAGAACGCCTCGCGTGCCTGGTTTCCCTCTGACGCCTCACTGACAGGACAGCGACCGAGGCGGGTGGGAGAGTCATCCCCAGGACCTGCGGCAGCCCAGCACGGAGCCGGTACCCTGTGTCTCTCTGTGTTTGTTGAATGAGTGGATCGGGCTGCAGAATTTTCCTTCCGGGACAGATACCGTGTCGAAGCTTGACCAGATGTGCTCAAGCATAGAGTCAGATATTTCAAGAGTACACGTGGGGTCAGGGCAAATGCAGGTGGAATGGGGTTCCTGGGGGAGGTGCATGCATCCTGGAAGAGAGTGTTGAAGAGGTGGTACAGATCTTTGACCTTATTTTATGACAGTCTCTTATTTTGCCTCAATGAGGTTTCCCTCTTGGTATCAATTATGAGTCACAGTTTCTTTCGCCTGTTCTCCTGAGCTCCCCCACACTTCCTGGGCCCCAGATCACCAGCCATCATTGGGACCGGGGTAGCATAAACTCACCCCGTTTGTGAACTTCCACGGTCCTTTCCTTTCCGTAGACACTCGGTACAAACTGGAGGGGCACACCGTTCTCTACATCCCCGCAGAGGCCATGAACATGGCGCCCGAGGTGGTGGTGAAGGACAAAGAGCTGGTGCAGCGGCTAGAGAGTGAGTGGCTGGCCTCGCCAGTGTGCTGGGGGTTCAAGAGGAGAGGGGAGGGGCAGCCCGGATGCCGAGAAAGGAGCCGGGTGAGGAGGGCCCTGTAGGCGGCAGTGGGAAGGGGACACAGGGGAGGAGCATAAAGAAGTGCAAGAGGTTTTGTACTCTTCCCGGCAGCCTCCATGATCCACTGGACCCGGCAGATAAAGGAGGTGCTCAGTGCCCAGGAGTCTGTGGAGATGGGAGAAAATTTAGGTCCCTTGGAGGAGATTGAGTTCTGGCTCAATCGGTGCATGGACCTGTCTGGCATCAGTAAACAGCTGGTGAAGCAGGGGGTGACGCACATTGAGTCCATCCTGCGTCTTGCCAAGTCGTCCTACTTGGCCCCCTTCATGAAACTGGCCCAGCAGATCCAGGTTTGTGAGTGGACCGGAGGACGGAGGCTTAAGGGGCACCTGGGTGGCTCTGGCGGTTAAGTGCCTGACGTGGCTCGGGTCATGATCTCACGGTTTGTGAGTTCGAGCCCCGCGTCGGGCTCTTTGCTGACAGCTCGGAGCCTGGAGCCTGCTTGGGATTCTGCGTCTCCCTCTCTCTCTGCCCCTCCCCTGCTCGTGCACGTGTGCGCACACACTCTCTCAAAAATTAATAAGCATTAAAAAAAAAGCATAGAGGCTTAGCAGAACGTGGACAGTGGTTGGGACGGTATCAGGTGCTAAGAAGAAGGAGCCAGTGTGAGCATCAACAGCAAAGGTGGATCCACCCGGCGTTTGGACTTGCACTTGGGGGAGAGTGAAAAAGGAGGGCAGCACTGTAAGGTCGCGGGAGCTTATGGTTTAGTTAAGGAGACCCCAGTCAGTCAGCAAACAAACACTGACTACCTTCTACGAGCCCTGCCCCTACAGTCCAGCTCCAGGAGCCCCATCCCCAGCTCAGAAAAGAAGGCTTCCACAGAACGGGGTCACTAGGTGGCGTGTGGTCGAAGCAGAACCTGGAGGGTTCAGCCACAACAGCTGCAAGATAAACGCTTAAAATATGCATTCGATAAAGTATGACGAGAGGATTCTGTTGCTTTGGGGACACGCAGAAGGGCAGAGTGGTCTGTGCAATACAGACATGGAGGCCTTCTCTTCCCAGGCGGGATTTCGAGCTGGGTGTAAGGGAACTGAGCCCCAGCTAGGTGGAAAAGTCCAGAACCCTGGTTGAGACCAGGGTGGTGAGGGGCACTTGGTGAAGCCAAGGGGGTGTTCAGTCAGTTGATCAACGGTTATAGGGTTGTGTGGGGCTCTGATTTCAGCTGGAGGATCTGGAGGGGTGGATACACCCTGAGTTTAGGGACCCCCGGTTTGGTAGGAGAGACGGGAGGCCCCATGAGGAAAGACGCAAAGGCACTGTGGTGGGACCGAGTACCTGAGTGCGCGCAGATAGGTACGAACTCCGGTCTTGAGGGCCCGCGGGGACCTGAGATGCTCGTCTGGGCTCCGGAGGGGCTGGTCAGGGCGGGCTTCCAGACGGGCCAACGGCGCTTGCTTTGGGCCAGTTCGTTGCAATGGGTGTGACCTCCTCCTTCCCGTGCCAGGACGGCTTCCATCAAGCACAGTCCAACCTGACGTTCCTGTCGATCCTGAAGGAGCCCTATCAGGAGCTGGCCTCCATGCGCCCGAGGGACATCTCCAGTAAGCTCCCCAAGCTCATCAGTCTCATCCGCATCATCTGGGTCAACTCCCCGCACTACAACACCCGGGAGAGACTGACCTCCCTCTTCCGGAAGGTGTGTGTCCGCAGGGGTGGGGCGGAGGGCTTTGGGGGAGGGGCCGCAGGGACCCAAGGCAGATCTGCTGAAGGTGCCCCCCCCCTGCCCAGGCAGGAAGTGTGCAGTTCCAGGCAGTGAGGGGCGGGCCCGGGGGGCTCAGACAGAGACCACGGCCTTCTGCCTGCTTCTTCAACTCCAGCGTGCTCCGCGGGGGCCTGGGCGGGACGGCCTGCTTCCGTGGTGGTGGTTGGGGGGGAGGAAGAGGCAGGCAGGACACACCCCCAGGGTGAGCTGTGCAGGGGGGAGGCCCTCTTTTTCTCCTCTCCAAAGCCGGAGGTGGCAGTGGGTGAGAGGCAGATATGGGAAGGGACGCCGGCTGTTGAGGAGCGGGACCCACACTTCATCTGGGGGTGACTGAGACCGGGCGCCGAGCTGAGCGCTGGCCCGGAAGTGAGCTGGGCTGGGGTGTGGAGTGTGGGGAAGGAGTGGGTGCGACTCCGGCTGTGGGCCCCTTCCCTCCGTCCTGCCTGCCGCAGATGAGCAACGAGATCATCCGCCTGTGCTGCCGGGCCATCTCTCTGGACCGCATCTTCGAGGGCTACGTCACTTCCAGCAAGGAAGACCTCCAGGGCTGCATCTCGTGCTGTCAGGCCTGGAAAGACCACTACCTGCAGGCGGTGCACATGCACACCCAGTACGCCGCCCCCCTCCCCGCCCACTGGCACCCCTGCCGCTCCGACCGAGCGCAGCAGTGTAACGTCTATGGGTTCCGTTTCGCTAGACCCTGTCCGGCTCTTCTCCGGATGCCCATGTTCTAGTGCCGGCCCGGGTCCCCCTCGCTCTCATAGCCTCTTCTCCCTCCTCCCAGAAATCCTTCCTCCGGGAGATACTCCTCCTTTCTTGGCCCGAAAGGCTGAAGTTCTAGAGCTTCTTCCAGAGCCTCCTCTCTGGCTTTCCTCATGTTGCGTCTCTTCCCTTCAGGGTTCAGGAAAACTGCCCTTTGGGGTCAGGCCCCCTGAGCCCGAGACTCCCGGTTGTCGCTTTGTGTAGGCAGGTTGATGCCTAGCGTCCCTACGTTTTCACGGACGGGTGTCATTCTCTGGACGCAGGTTCTCCAGCCGGGGCTGGGTCCTGGACCAGACCAGCATATTCGCTCAGGTGGATGCGTTTGTGCAGCGCTGCAAGGACCTCATTGAGGTGGGCAGGCTGCCGGGGAAGGAGGGGAGGGTCACAGTGGACCCCGGACCCTGGCCAGGGGCAGAGGCTCAGCGGGGAGCATATGGTTTGGACTCTGCATAACTGTGTGCCCCACCTCTGCCCCGTGCTTTTATTATTATGTTTTTTTAATTTTAAAAAAACTTTATTTCTGAGAGAGAGAGAGAGACAGTGTGAGCAGGGGAGGGTCAGAGAGAGGGAGACACAGAACCCGAAACAGGCTCTAGGCTCTGAGCTGTCAGCACAGAGCCCGACGCGGGGCCTGAACCCATGGACCGTGAGATCATGGCCTGAGCCGAAGTCGGACGCTTAACCGACTGAGCCCCCCCAGGCGCCCCTCGCCCCATCCTTTTAGACTTCTGCCTGTTATTACTGCCCTGGTGTCTTCTAGTTCTTTCTGCAGCCAGAATTCATCCCTGTAGCTCCTTGCGCCTGGTGGCCCCTCCCTAGCGCTCAGACATCATAAGCCAAACAGAAGAGCTCAGGGCCTACGAGGTCCGAACCAGAGCCGAGGCCTCACGCCGACTCCGTTGTAGGTCTGTGACTGCCAGTATCATTTTGCCCGCTGGGAAGATGGCAACCAGGGGCCCCTTCCCTGCTTCTTCGGGGCCCAGGGACCCCAGGTCACACGGAACTTGCTGGAGATCGAGGACATCTTTCATAAAAACCTCCAGATGCTGCGGGCTGTGCGCGGGGGCATCCTCGACGTCAAGAACGCGTCCTGGCACGAAGACTACAACAGGTGAGAGCGCCCCCTGGCTGGGGGCGAGGGGCGTGGCGTGGCGAGGGGCGTGGCGAGGCGAGGCGGCGTGGCGAGGGGCGTGGCGAGGCGAGGGGCGTGGCGAGGCGAGGGGCGTGGCGAGGGGCGTGGCGTGGCGAGGGGCGTGGCGTGGCGAGGGGGCGAGGCGAGGGGGCGAGGCGAGGGGCGTGGCGAGGCGAGGGGCGTGGCGAGGCGAGGGGCGGGGCGAGGGGCGGGGCGAGTGGGCCCGGAGGAGGGGCCGAGGAGGTGATGCCGGGCACACTGTTCTGCCAGTTAGTTCCCTCGACCAAAACACGAGGCCCGGGGGATAGAACCCACCGCACTGTATCGCTTTGCGGAATGAACGCAGTCGCGCCCATTATGCCCTTGGTGCCTGGCGCCGGGGAGGCCCTGGGTATCGGCCCGCGGGATTCTTACTGGGGCGTGGCCTTGGGGCAGGTGAGGGCGCCGGTCCGGTCCCCGGTCCCCGGTCCCCGGTCCCATGCTTCTCTACCCGTGCAGGTTTCGTTCTGGAATCAAGGACCTGGAGGTGATGACTCAGAACCTGATCACCTCCGCCTTCGAGTTAGTCCGAGATGTGGAGCAAGGAGTCTTACTGCTGGACACCTTCCACCGGCTCTCGACGCGGGAGGTGCGCCCCCCACCCCCACCCCCGCTCCCCCCGGCCCCGCCTGGCCCCTCCTGCGCCTCCTCCAGTTACTCCTGATCCTTCCGGGCTCCGTGCCACCTCCAGTCGTGCCCGCCCCGTCGTCCTCCACTGCCAGACCCTCTTCTTCCTCAAGTTTCCAGACGGCCCGGGGCCAAGGTGTCCTCTAGCGTGAGTCTGGGCTGGGGGGAACCCGGCGCGGGCTCAGGCTCCTCCCCTCCCTCCTCAGGCCATCAAGCGCACCTACGACAAGAAGGCGGTGGATTTGTACATGCTGTTCAACAGCGAGCTGGCCCTGGTGAACCGGGAGCTGAACAAGAAGTGGCTGTACCTGGAGCCCTACATGGCCCAGTTCTCGGGGCGCGCGCACTGGGTGCGGATCCTGCGGCGGCGCATCGACCGAGTCATGAACGTGAGCGCCCGGGAGGCGGTGGGGGGCGGGGGCCGGGCCCCGCGCTGAGCGAGTCTCAGCTCTTGAGGTACCTGCAGTCAGGTGACTGCTCTGGTGAGGACCTGCGGCCCCCAGACACCAGGGGCGGCTTCGCAGTCGCTGAGCTGGGACTTGGGGAGGAGGGGCTCCTGCTGGTTTTCGGCTTGCACCTCTTATGTCCTCACCTCCCGTGATTGACCTTCTTTGTCCACCCTCCTGAGCCGAGTCCCCCGCTTCTCCTGCACGCTGGTGACTCCCTGGCCCCCTCCCCTCAGCTGCCCGTGTCGCCCACCTTCCTGCCCTGGGCACTAGGGGTCGGCCTCCACAGCAGACCACACACCGCAGGGGCGCGCACCGCGGGGAGGGGGCCCCGGGGGATGGTGGTCAGTGGGCTCCAGCCAACCCCCCCCACCCCGCCGCTCTTCCCCCCCAGTGTCTCTCTAGTGCCCACTTCCTGCCCCACATCGGGACCGGAGAGGAGAGTGTGCACACCTACCAGCAGATGGTCCAGGCCATGGACGAACTGGTTCGAAAGACCTTCCAAGACTGGACGGCCACGCTCGACAAAGACTGCATTCGGCGGCTGGACACGCCGCTGCTACGGGTCAGCCAGGAGAAGGCGGGCATGCTGGATGTCAACTTTGACAAGTACGAGACCCGGCGCCCCCCTTTCCCTGTGCTCTGCCCGGCTCCCGTGCCCTCTTCCCCTCCCCCCGCTCTCTTCGCTCCACTCCTGCTTCCAACCCTCTCTTGTGCTGTGGTGTGTGTAGCATCACTTCCTAACTTCAGTTCTACAGTTTGTCTCCAGAGGGACCCCGGCCCCCAGGAACCCCCCGGGCCGGCACTGCAGGTGTCCGGCCACTAGATGGCCATGGCAGCCCAGCTAAGTCATCCCAGACCGCCAGCCCCCGGCAAGGGCTTCCCTGGGAACGCTTTTACAGTGATGACCTTTTCAGGTTCCGGTGACTTAAAATGTAGTTAGTTCATGTATTTGTTAGTCAGAAAGGTGTGGTGAGGGCTGTCTGTGTGCTGGGAGCTGAGTCAGGCCCGGGGGCCACCCCCCCCACTTTTGTGCGAGTGAACTAGGGTCCGCCGTGCCTTCCATCCTGGAGAAGACGCAGACGAGAGCAATACGGAAGGAGCTTTGTAAGACATCTGTCTGTAGAGATTGCAAGCCTTCTGCTGACAGTTTTTGCTTAATTGGAAGGAAATAACTTTCCACTTGGTTGGTTTGGCTCCCTCTTGTCACCAGCCGGGCCCTGTGATGAGAGCTGCTTCCCGGGCTTCCGAGGCTTCCGTCGCCAGCACTGGCTTTACCCCCCACGGCGTCCGTGTGTGTTGGGCACGTGTGGCAGGGGCTCTGCTGGGGACGGCCTGCGACGGAGCTCACCAGGGGGAGATGAGTCGCCGTGTGCAGGAAGGCAGGGGAGGCCCCGGCACGCGTGAGGAGGGCAGAGGGGCGCCGGCCGGTGGCGAGTGCGTGGCTGGGGAGGGGCGTCAGGGAGCCACCCTGCTCAGGCTCCTGGGGTTTGGAGGAGGGACCAAGCAGGATCCCAGGCAAATGGCTCCATAAATCAACCCCGTGATTTAGAAGAGACAGAGGATGAGGCCGGGCCTGCCCCGGCCGTGACATTTGCAAGCGCGTAACGGGGCTGAATCCGCCAGACACGTTGTCCCGTCGGGCTGGGGTCTCCCTGTTTGGAGGGGCGCCTGGACGCGCTTGCAGTGACTCGAACACTTGCACAGACCCCAAATTCAAGGCCTGCGTTCCCATGATGGAATTTTATCAAGTCCCAATGATCCATATGGACGTTTTGAGCATGAGAGAGTCCGTAGGAAGCACGGGCTGTGGCTCTGCCTCCGCCCACACAGGCTTCAGGGCCACACACAGCGGGCTCTGACCTCGGGAGGCGACCCGGTCTACCGCGTGACCTCAGGCAGGCCACCTAGTTCCTCTGGGCCTGCGTTTCCTTGTTTCCTTATCTACTCTCCAAACCCTCCTCCCAGGTGGCCATGAGGAGGGCTGGCGAGTGTGGAAGCCCCTCCCAAAGAACAGGCAATAAACGTCACCGTCCCTTCCAAAGAATCAAGCTTCCCTGAAGCTTGACAACAAACCTAGCAAGGTGATATACGTAACTTTATTTAATTTTTAAAATAATAGTTTTCATTTTTAAAACAGTCAAACCTTTTACAAGAGGTGATGTAAGGTATGTGTTTATAAAACTGAAAAGTTACACTAGGGTGGAGAATGAAAAATCTGGCTCCACTGCTGCCCTCCTCCCCTGGCGTGACTCAGTTTCTCTCTAAAGAGTCAGTGTTACCAGCTTCTTGCGTAACATTCCAGAGATAAGAATCTGTATGACATAAGTAGCCTTTTTTTATGTAAATAGTAGCATGCTGTATACACTGTTTTGTACATCCCAAGTGTTTCCAAAATGATTTTTCCCCATTACAAAAATCATCAACAATTGTAGAAAGTTTGCAAAATGAAGGGAAATAGAAGAGAGAAAAAACAATTCCCCAAAGACATCCCTTCTTAATGGTTTGATATATTTTTTCCCACTCTTTTCCTTTTTTAATTTTTTTTTCATATTTTTATTTATTTCTAGGAGAGAGAGAGAGACAGCGTGAGCAGGGGAGGGTCAGAGAGAGAGGGAGATACAGACTCTGAAATAGGCTCCAGGCTCTGAGCTGGCAGTCAGCACAGAGCCCGACGCNCAGAGAGAGAGGGAGATACAGACTCTGAAATAGGCTCCAGGCTCTGAGCTGGCAGTCAGCACAGAGCCCGACGCGGGGCCTGAACCCACAAACCGCGAGATCATGACATAAGTGAAAGTCGGACGCTTAACCGACTAAGCCACCCCTCCTTTTTTAATTTTTTTAAACATTTATTTATTTCTTGAGAGACAGAGGGTGAGTGGGGGAGGGGCAGAGAGAGGGAGACACAGAATCCGAAGCAGGCTCCAGGCACCAAGCTGTCAGCTCAGAGCCCGACGCAGGGCTCGAACTCATGAACCGCGAGATTGTGACCTGAGCCGAACTCGGTCGCTCAACAGACTGAGCCACGCAGGTGCCCCTTTTCCACTCTTTTTTTTTTTTTTTACCCCCCCCCACGTCATGTATTTGTGGCTTTTAAAAAAAATCTTTAGTGAGTATTTTTAAATTATAAAAATAGTGCATGCTCACTGTAAAAAAGAAATTGACATATATTTGGGAAACAGTGAAAAATCCAGGGCACAGCCCCGCTCCCTAGAGGTAATCATGATTACCATGTCATTGAAAATATACTCTGCGGACCCAAAATGGGATCACACTGTAATAGTATTTTTGTAACTTGCTTTTTGGTGGGGGGTGTTAACACTGTGCATGGGGGAGGTTTCCATTCTGCATGTGGAGAAGTGTGTTTTCCGTGGCTTATAGCGTCCCACGGTTTGGCTTGTAAGTTGTACCGCTTCTGGAGGCCTGTGAATATTTTGTACCGGGGGATTTCCAGCAGGCCCCCCGCACCTCGCTGTCACCCCCTCCACAGCGTGTGTTGCCTGATGTCCGAGCATCGTGCTCACTGGGGTCGGCGTAAGCGTGGGAGAAAACTTCTCTGTCTGCTGTGCTCGCCTCTCGAGGAGCATGTTCTGTACTTATCTCAAGTCCCATTTGCGTGATCTTTATAGTAGAGCTTAACAAGGCAGCTTTGGGCCAAATATTTATGGCCTCGGTTTAACTGAAACCCGAGTAATGGCCAGATGCATCGCCCAGAGAGAAGCGTTTCCTCCGGAGCTGTTTTCCAGAGGGATCTGTTAGAAGCCGCTTTACATTTTTGTGGTTTTAAGATAAAACTGCCTCAGTAAATAATGTATGGGGGGGGAGCCCCACGATCGTAGAGAAGGACTTTGAAGAGCCTGGGCTCATCAAGCCAGCAGAGAAATCCAGGGCGGTTTCAGCTCTTCTGAAATATTGCTACTGTGCGGAGGTGCGGGCGCCTGGCCTGTCCCGGGCTCTCTCTGTTATGCTCAAGGTCGAGATAAGATCTCGAAACAAGCATGCTTTTCAGATGGCCTGACCGTTGTGCAGATTTTCCTGCCTCTCCCTGAGCCCTGGGAGCCTTCCAGTCCCTAACAGCACCTGTCTTATCTCACGAGGGGCTTTGTCATCCCGCCTTGTATCCCGAATATTTGAACTCCGGAGTCTGAATGGGCTCTGGCCCGCGTTTTATGGCCCGACCAGCCTTACCGACTGCGCTTAACTCAAACATGTTCCAGATGTCGTCCGAACCCGGGCCGAAGAGAGCTGTGTTATCGCAATGTACACAGCAGGCGCCTCTGTGCGGCGCAGTGCAGTCTCGCAGAGCAGGGCGGGGGCCGCGGACGCCTGTCAGTGTGCTGGGGGTAGCAGGGCTTTTTCCTCCTCCTCTCTTCCATCGGGGGGTCAGGTCATCCCGGGCTGTCGGCACGCACCTCGGCTGGCCTCACCTTCCTGTCTCTACCGCCTGACCGCTGCTCTGAGGATGAATTATGCAAGATTTTACAGAAATAATTTCCCAGACTATGTTGTTTTGTTTTTCTTTTTAAAGAAATTTTACTTGTCAGGGGTGCCTGGGAGGCTCAGTCGGTTAAGTGTCTGACTCCTGATTTCGGCTCAGGTCATGATCTCGTGGTGAGTGGGTTCGAGCCCCACATTGGGCTCCAGGCTGACAGTGTAGAGCCTGCTTGGGATTTTCTCTCCCTCTCTCCTTCTCTGCCCTTCCCCAACTTGTCTGCTTTCTCTTTCTCTCTCTTTTTCAAAAACAAACAAACAAATAAGGAGGTAAGATTTTAAAAAAAGAAATTAAAAAAATTTTTTTTAATGTTTTTTAATTATTTCTGAGAGAGAGAGAGAGAGAGAGAGAGAGACAGCATGAGCAGAGGAGGGTCAGAGGGAGAGGGAGACACAGAATCCGAAACAGGCTCTGGGCTCCGAGCTGTCAGCACAGAGCCCGACACGGGGCTTGAACCCACGAATCCTGAGATCATGACCTGAGCCGAAGTCGATGCTCAACCAACTGAGCTACCTTTGCACCCCTAAAAAAATTTTAGAGGCATCAGGGGTGGCTTAGTCGGTTAAGCATCTGATTTCGGCTCAGGTCATGATTTCGCAGTTCATGAGTTCAAGCCCTGAATTGGTCTCTGGGCTGACAGCTCAGAGCCTGGAGCCTGCTTTGGAATCTGTGACTCTCTCTCTCTGCCCCCCCAACCCCGCCCACCACTCACAGTCTGTCTCTTTCATTCAAAAATAAACATTAAACAAATTTTTAAAAAATCTTTTCAAGATGAGGAAACAAATAAACATTTTGACTCGATGTTGGGTAGTACACGCCCCAGCCAGCTGGCTGTGATGTTCAGGGAGACAAATTCAGGGCCTCCAGTTTGAAGAACAGAGGAATATATGTTTATGCAGCTAGAAATGTTCCCATGTATATTCATACCCCTCTATCCTAACCTCTAACCCGTCTATAATTGAGAGAGACAGAGGGAGAGAGAGAGAGAGACAGAGCGCGAGCAGGGGAGGGGCAGAGAGAGAGGGAGACACAGAATCTGAAGCAGCTCCAGACTCTGAGCTGTCAACACAGAGCCTGATGTGGGGCTCGAACTCGCGAGCCACGAGGTCATGACATG